AGGCAGTTTAAGTCACTAACGCACAGTATTAACTTTAATTGCTACGCTTATCATTTTAATCCCAAACTCAGGATTCTTAACCTACTCAATTTTACAAGAATTATCATATTTTTCTTATATTTTTCAGAGCACCTTTCCGGTACGCGCTTTTCATAGCCAGTACCAGTTTCTGGCACCAGTTCTCATTATTTTAACTTGAAACTCGTTTTACAAGTCCTACATATTATTCTAGTAATTATCATGCACTTATTATAATTTTCCGGGATACTTTTTTGGTATGTATTTATACCGACTAGCAGAACCGGTATCTGCACTTTTCGTCAGAAAAGCGACTTTCAACATTATTACTCACTTACTATAATTATTAGAGCCTCATAATAATTATTAGGGTCAATTATGGAATTATCTCATTAAACTCATAATTAACTGCTTAATTTCCTTAATTAACGGTGCTGATTCTTACACTTACCACATGGAGATCCACCTAGGGTTGTTTCCAAGGGAAGTCCCTAACCTCAATCTAGGAACCTCCAAGAGAGATCCACATAGGGCTGTTTTTCTTAGGCTCTTACCACATGGAGATCCACATATGACTGTTTCTAAGGGAAGTTCCTTCCAATCATCCTCATCATAAATCTATCAAACATAACCTCAATCATAATCCTCAACCATTACCTCATTCATTATTTTTACATCTATCAACCATTCCTTTATTACTCTTAAACAATCAAACATCAATCAATAATCATTAATCAATCATAACATTTATCAATGCATGAGCATACAATTACTATCATCATTACATATCACATCTCATAAACCGTTCCTCCTCAACAGAGTATGGTAGAACATTCAAGGGGATTAACCCCAAGGTCCAAAGGTTTACCTTGCACTTGAACCTTTCTCAAAACTTTCCTTTCCTCAATTGAACACAACCACAAGGGTTGGTCACTCCACTTGGTCCTCTTGCCTCAATCCTATCAATACAAGGAATACAATCAAACCTACAATCAAACAATGCTAACAATGCAAGAAAATCCTTAGTTCCAAGCATAGATTTCTCTAAATATCAAAGCATACTAAAATAACACTCTAAACTCATTTCTACCGTTTATTTAGAATTCCTAACAATATTTGTAAAGGAACTTAGCTTCAATTTAACTCAAACTCATAAAACCCATAAAAACACTATTAATCATCTTCAACCTCTAGAAAACTCCATGAACACAAGGTTGGAGAAGTGGAAACTTACCACAATAGGTAACACAACCAAGAAATAGAGGTCTCCTAAGCTCCCATGGATGAAAATGCCCCCAAACTCCTCAAATCTTCAAGGAAATCAAAATCTTTGGAGGAAGGGATCTCTCTCCACAAAGCTTCCCACTCAAAACTAAGCTAGGATTTGGAATGAGGAGAAGATTCTCTACGTTTTTGGCTTTGGAACGGATGAATTTCGTTGAGAGATGAGGGAACTAGGGTTTGAAGCTCAAATGATCTCTCCCTCTCTTTTCTCTCTGTGAAGCGTCGAAGAAGAAGAAGAAAATGAGGAGCTTTTTGTGTTTTTAACACTTAACTAAGGTTGAGTAATTTCAACTGGGTAAAATTTTATCTATCTAATTAACTCCGTTCACTTCCAAACTTTACACGAAGTTCTGAAATATTTTTCTAGGAATATTTTAACTTTATTCTTATATTTTGGGTACTTTTGCCTACACTCATTTATACCTCTTAATTCTCAGTGACTGCACTTTTTACCTCCGAATTGCCCTTAACTCATTAATTTTAACTTCTTGCTTAATTCTACCCACTTATACATGCTTGGTTACTTAATTAAAAGTAATTAATTAAATTCTTAAATTAGGAGTATTATATACCCTCCCTCTCTCTCAACAGTGATTTCAAAATGGAAAGGGGCACACTATAACCGTCGGCGAACCTTAAGAAGGACGGAGCATTGATTGGGCTAAAGAGACAATGAGGAAGAACCTGAGTTCTTTTGTTATGAGGGAAAAAAGGGAGCATGAAAAAAAGAGGAGGGATATTCTCACTACAAAAATTTTTCACTACCAACTTACTACCTATCTAATTACCATTAAATTAACATTTTCTCTCTCTTCAAATTTTTTTTAACATTCTCTCTTTGATCCAATGGTGATGTGATGGGTAGTAAGTTAGTAGTAAGAATTTGTGGTAGTTAGAATATCCTTACTCTAAAAAAAATTGGAAAAACGAAAAGAAATGGATAGTATTTTTTAAAATGACATAATGTTGAAATAAAACGACAAAAACTTTTGTCATATACTATAACATATAATCTTAATCATTCATAGATAACTTGATAATTATCTTTTTTGTCTCTCATTTTTCAACATTTTTTCTCTTTGATATTTAATTACCATTCATTTATCCATAAATAATTACATGATAAGGTCATGTTATATAACACACAACACAAGACTCGTTTTTATGATGGAAATAATAGTTTCATGTTGTAAGACACTACTATCTTATTTCATAGACATTTTAATAATTGTGCTGTCATTGTCATTTTTTAGTAATAGACCCTAGGCAAAAAAATTTAAATATTACTTTTTTAATAAAAAAATTACAGAAACATGGTCGTTTTGAATGTATATATAAATGTATAGCACTCAAATACGCCCCAAGGGAAAATGACAAGTTGGAGAGAGACACTCCCCACATGAACATGTTTGATGAGAGAGACATTACCCCAAGGAGCGTGCGTGACTGACCAGGTGTTGACACATGGCACAAAAGTTAACAGTTTTACTGTAAAACTTTGGAAGTCCATAGCTTTTGACTCGAGTGTCCGAATTAGGTAATTTTTTTTGATTCCACACAACTTTTCGAGATCTACGCAATGACACTTCATTTGGCATATCTTGTCTCTCACAAAAAAGTTCAAATTTACAACAATGATAGAATAAGAACGTTTAAACCCAAATTAAAAAAGAGAAAATCACTGTCATGATTAGAAACATTCCTAATAAAGATCCTTACGATTGTGGTACCATTGTGTTATATTTTTTCACAAATTATGGACCATTACGTTTAAATCCAAAATATATTTTTTCACCAAATCCCCTTCAATGAGACCTCATTGCGTAGATCTCGAAAATTTGTGTAGAATCAAAAATATTTTACCTAATTCGGACACTTGAGTTAAAAGTTATGGACTTTCAAAGTTTTACGGTCAAATTATTGACTTTTGTGCCACGTGTCAGCACCTGGTGAGTCACGCCCCTTGAGGAGTGTCTCTCTCGTCAAACACGCCCATGTGGGGAGTGTCTCTCTCCAACTGGTCACGCTCCTAGAGGCGTGTTTGAATGCTATATATTTTGTATATACATTCAAAACGATCATGTTTCCATAATTTTTTATTAAAAAAGCAATATTTAATTTTTTTTTGCCATAGACCCTATGACTTTAAATATACTCTCTCCTATAACATATATGAGAGTAAACAATTCCTTTTATGAAATTATATGAATGATTTTTATTACATGTGTCAATAATACACTTCATCAATATTATTCCAAAATATGTTTTTTTAAGAAAAAGAAAAGAAAAGAAAAAGGGATTGATTGAATCATTCACTCTGAAAACTGCAAGAAAACATTCAAATGTTCGTCCTTCTTCCATACCAAGGCATAGCACGCACTCACACGTTGATTTTGATTTTCCTGACTCGCAGACACACATACTAAGCTAAGCATTCATTTTCTTTAGACCCACTCACTGCACTCTGACATTTCTTTCACGCAGCACTCATTTTTCTTTCATCTTTCATAAACTAACCACACAGAGAGGGAGGAAAGGGGCGTCACTGTTTCCTTCATGTGTTTGATCTAAGGTAATGATCTCAAAATCTTCACTGTTTTATCCTTCAATGTTTACCACCTGATTTGCATAGTTGCATTGAATGTATTGATTTCATTAATAACTGTAAATTCTATGTGGTTTAATGACTAATTTCAATTTGTTTGTGATAGCGGTTTTAATTTTGTTTGTGATAGTGAACCACAGAATGGTGCTCCTTTTGAAGGGGCTGCTTAAAAGCAATGTTATTAGAATCGGACCGGTCATTGACCTGGTCTAGGTACCGGGTCACTGGGTCAATGGTTCAACCGGTGGGTCACTGGTTGAATCGTATGAACCGAATATATATATATATATATAAATTTATATTTTATACTTAATCATATAATAAATATATTAAATGGTGCCATCTACACAATAACCTGATGTAGTTTAGTGGTATTTGCTAGGTTGTTTATCCTTAATGCAAGGGGTTCGAACCCCATTACATGCAGTTTTTGGAATAATTCTCTTAACTTAAAAGTTATATGATAAATATATTAAATGGTACAAATTATTCAACAAGTGATGGTGGCGTAGTGGTAGGAAACGGCTCTCTTTACTCCAAGGTAGTGTGTTCGAATCCCACTTGCTTCAAAAAAAGATTTTGTAACTAATTTTGAAAAACCGGTTTGAAGGGCAAACCGGTTTACCGGTCGGACCGCGGTTTATGACCGGGTCAACGCCGGATCGATTACTTAAGCGGTCCAATGTTATAACCGGACCGGTTGATGGGCCGGTTTCCGGGTCAACCGGTCGGACCGGCCAGGCCGGTCCGGTTTTAATAACACTGCTTAAAAGTATCACATGATTAATTTCAGCTATATTATTAACTTTTCTCAGACATAGAACAAGAGAATCTTTACTGCGTAGCCTGCCACATATTTTATGGCTTGAACCCAAGTCTAGATAAAATCTCAACTTGTAAGGTTAAGGGTAAGTATAGCTGCAAAAATGATGAGAAATTTGAACATACAAAAAATAAATTGAATAATTCAAACAGCTAAATACTAATTCTCAAAAATTTCCATTATCCGTTTGTAATGGCTGCTATTGAATGGAAATTAGAGAAGCACAAGTAGAAACTAAGGGAATAGTGCATGGGGTTTTTTATTTTTTATTTATAGCATGAACCAGAATCCATAAACTACCTACAATGAGTCAGAGAATAGAAGAGACTAGAGTACACTTAAGGAGAAGAGGATACATCACAGAGGAGAGGAGGTAAGACCGAAAGAGTATTTAAAGAAAAAGAAGAGTAATTTACACTCAAACAACCTTCTCTCAACTCAATTCTCTCTAAAATATCGATTCAAATTTTGCAGTGCACATTCCTTTACAACCATTTTTCAGCTCACAGTTATCACTGACATTGGACACATTAAAAAGTCTTCAGATGCACTAGAATCAACAAAGATGGACAAAGCTTTATTTCAAAAGTAAATGGGGAATAACAAATTCAAAGCTTACAGATTTTATTTATATGGTTTATCTTACCAGGGGTGGACGAGAAGCAATGGGTATCAAGTGCAGGTCATCTTTTCTTCTAACAGTCACACCAAATTGCTCAGTCATGTCCAAGTCCTCACTTTTCATTCCATTGGGAAGTTTCCAATCAAAGTGATACAACAAGAATGCAAGGGCCATATCAACATTTATTAAACCAAATGTGCTGCCTGGGCATATTCTTCTTCCAGCACCAAACGGAATGTATTCAAAATTACTCCCTTTGTAGTCAATAGAGCTATCCATGAATCTCTCCGGATAAAATGTCTCTGGTTCAGCCCAGTAGTTTGCATCTCTTCCAATTGCCCAAGCATTGACAATGACCTTACTTTTGACCGGTATATGATACCCATGAATCTCACATGCTTGTCCACATTCTCGTGGAAGTAAAAGGGGAGCTGGAGGGTGTAGCCTCAGGGTCTCTTTGACAACTGATTTCAAATATTTGAGTTCATTGATGCAAATTTCATCAACCATTCCTTTCATATCGAATACCTTTCTCACTTCATGTTGTGCTTTCTTCATTACTCTTGGATCCCTTACCATCTCTGCCATTGCCCAATCTATGATAGTTGATGCTGTCTCACCTCCAGCACCAAAGATGTCCTGAAAAGTAATTATTGGTGAGGTTAAGCTAATGCAAGGATATCCAAAGATACAGTTTAAACAGATAAGAAGATCACATCCAATACTACATGGGAAATACACCACACTGGGGAGTGGGGGGTAAGTACTAAACGTTCATCTAAGTTCTACAAAATGGTATTATCTTTGTAAAAAAAATTTGCGAGTCTGTTGTTATCCTTACCAAGATTATAGCCTTGATATTGTTATTAGTTAAGCAAATATCCTGGTTGCTACCATTACCATCCTGAAATTTTAGGAGAACATCTACCAGATCTTCCACTACTTCACCTTGGCCTTCTTTGGGTTTTGACTTTTCCTCTTTATGTTCAACGATGATCTTTTCCAGTATCTGATCAATTTTTCGATGCAACCTCTCAAGCTTAGGTCTCAAACCAGTAACAAATTGAAGCCATTTAGCAGAAGGAAATAATTCTCCTATGTCAAAACCTCCTGCAACTCCTATTCCTTCTTTTGCCACTAATGCGAATTCTTCTTGGACTTTGGATTTCTTGCCAAAAGCAGCCCTTGAAATGATAGTAAATATTGTTGACATTACTGCTTGAGTAAGGTTGATGGGAGATCCTTTCTGTGAATCAATAATTTTGATGAGATTGGTGAGCTGTTCTTCTCTTATTGGCTTGAAAGAATTGACACGCTTTTGAGTTAAAAGCTCCATTGTGCATATTTTTCGTAGCTGTCTCCAATAATTTCCATAAGGTGCAAAAGCAATATTTGTTGATTCATAAGACAATATTTTTGTAGCTATAAGTTGAGGCCTTGATGCAAAGATGACATCATGGGTTTTCATCACCTCCCTAGCATACTCTGGTGAGGAAACAACGATTGTGAAGATCTCTCCAAGTTGTAGATGCATCAAGGGTCCATATATTTTGGCCAAATTTCTTAATTTTCTATGTGGTGTGGGTGTAAGAAGATGGTGTATATTGCCTATAATAGGCAGCTTCCATGGCCCCGGGGGTATATTTGGAGTTGATTCTGTTTTCTTGAGATTCCTCCCAATTTTTAGTGCCACAAACATGAAGAGGATAAAGGGGATAAGGGCTAATAAGTGAAGGATTGGAGAGTCCATAGGAGATAAAACCGAGCAGTAAGATGGACTAAAGACCTGCTTGTTTGACAGGATAAAGACTATTGATGGTGGACAGGGAGGGAGAACACAATAAAAGACTAGGGATTTTTTTTGCTTGATATTTCCTATAGTTTTCTGTTGCTGCAACTTGTAGTTGTGTTCACCATAAAGAATCTTTTTGTAGTATGCACGATCATGCCAATAACTTTGAGTTTTTAACTTATCATTGGTTTGTTTATTTTTTCATGCTTTGACAGGCTTCCTTTGATAATTTTTTAGTGCTTAATTGCTCTCGGCTTTTGCATTTTCAGTTGAGGATAATTTTTTTAGATTATTTTCTTATAGACACTCTGTAGTATTGAAGCAACTGTATCCTTGGCTGCTTTTGTGGTTTTTCTTTTGTGGAATTTCAGAGTTCTTTATGTTTATGCTTTTTCTGCTGTTTTGACACTTCATTGGTACTTACACTATTTTACTCCCTTGTTGAGCAATGTTAAAGTTGTTACTTTGTTACTGAAAGAATACGGATTCGAATTTAAGAAATAATCTTTGTAATTATGTAAAGTTAAGACTCTCTATAAGACTTTCTCTCATCTCACCTTTATTAGTCGAGATTTAACGGGGAATGATTTTTATATTATCAGCTCACATTAAGGGTGTTCACGGTCTGGATTAGATCAGTTTTGGAATTAAAAATCATCAGATACAATCCCTTCGATTTAATCATGTAATCATCCATTCGATTTGAATTTTTTTTCAAATCCGATTCGATTCAATCCAATTTTATTCGGTTTGGATTGGATTGATTTTTGGTTTTTCAAAAGTCTAAGATTTGTATGATAATTATTGTGCAAATAACATATCTTTTTGTCTGTATCGGCTTTGTAAAGTTTGTATGATAATTAGTGCAATCTAAAAGTATTGTATAACAAAAAGTTAAATTATCATCTTTTACTTTCAACAAAAAATTTATAATATGGTTGCCTGAGATACGGAGTAATCGAAATTTTTATCCTATAAAGGAATTGTTATACAACAATAACCCATGTAAGAAAAATATATTTTGTATCTTACCAAAAAAAAAAATATAACATAGATCAAACAGAATTCACTTTCTCCAACATGATGGGTTAATGGGTCTTGAATTTAGAATTTTGCTATATGATTTTTGAGCTATGATTGGGGAAAGGCCCAAGTAGGTAGATGATAAGGTTAGAAATTATTGGATCGATTTTTATCAACTCATTCAAAAACCGATCTAATCCAATTAAATTTTGTGATTTTTTTTATTTTCAATTTTTTTATTAATTCGATTTTCTATTTTTCGATCAGTACAATTTAAATGAGTTTGGATTGATTAATAATCATCCTTACCTCACATGATGAAAGCTGGCTTGCTATTTACTTTCGTGGATCAAGGAAGCCCATGTTAGTTGGGGGACAAACCCTGCCACTATCTCTTGCTTCATTGTGATACGGGATAATTTTTAAAATTTCTAGGCAATTATTTTTTGACTTACACAAAAACACTGAGAAATATGTACATTGAAAGTATAAGGATTTCACAGCTAAAGTCCTTTCGTATCCTCCTTTAAAAAATGAGAAAATGAGGTGGAAGCAGGGTTATCATTGGGGATAAAATAAAACAAAAACCTTTTACAACTTTTCTTTTCCTTAAAAGTTTATTATACTCAGGTATTTATAAATTCAAGTTTATGTACCTAAAACAAGAAATAGAGTTTGGAAGATATTAATTGAATCAATTCAATTTTATTAAGTCGTAAAAAATCATATGCATAACACACTTCCCTTCACATATTATATATACATTTCATACTGATTTTTGTCCGCAAAGCTAGAAATTTTGATGACGGTAAAACCAAGAAATCCAGACACACAAGTCAGTTGAAGTAATCGGCAAGTGGAAAAATAAAGAACATAAAAAAATAGTCATCGTAGCATAAATTATTAACATCATATTCGGCAGCAAGTTATGCAATGTGCCACGTAAACTTTGTGCTGGTGTTGATGAAAGTTCCAACCAAACACTACCAAACAATGGTAGTCCACGTTTTGGTTGATCTATTTTGGGTTGAAAACAATCTACATTAGTTTATTTATTAATTGCTTTTACCAACTGCTTTAGAGATTTTTTTAGTGCTTGATTGCTCTCGGCTTTTGCATTCTTTATTGAAGAAAGATACGCAAGATATTTTGCCAATGGTCATTGTTTGTGTGTATTGTGTAGTATTGAAGCAAGGCAATTATTATTGAATTCATAGAAAGACTTGTTGGGACAGAATCCCTCAAATATAACGGAAGCAAGAAACTTAAGTCGGAACATCGAGCTTGGAGCTCGGTACTTCGAGGTCGGCCTGAAGTCATCGGATCGGTCAACATGCAGTGAAATGAAAAATGCAAAAGTGAAAGAGGCAGAGAGATACAGTCAAATTTTTAACGTGGAAAACTTTCTCTAATACAGAGAAGTAAAAACCATGGAATACCAGTCTAGAAAATCTTTCACTATGAAAAAGAAAGATTACAAATATTCAAGCTTCCCTAATTACACTAGAGGTACACTCAAACTTCATCAACGATGGTGGTATTCTCAAACTTCTCTAAAGAGGTCACTCTTCAAACTTCTCTTTAGAGGTACTCTCAAAATGTTCTCAAGCAAAAAAAAAAAAAAGGTCATTCAATTAAAAATAGTTTCATGTATATAGAGGTGAGGGGACCCCTCCACCATCTTCCAAAATCTTCTTCAGTGATTAGTGGGCAGCATTTATTGGAGGTGGTTGGGCAGTCATTGAACCCTGCACCCATTAATGAGGTGCATGCCGTTAAGGGAAGGAACCACCCTAACAAATCTTCCCCTTCCGACTTTAATGCTTCGGATTCAGCAGCAACCCGACACCTTCACAACCATATTCAAATTTTCTTGCTAGTACCGACTTGGTCATCATGTCAGACCAATTCAGGTCGGTGTGCACTTTGATGAGTTTGAGCTGTCCATCCTCCACTACATCCCGGATCTAGTGATACCTCACATCATTGTTCTTAGTGCAGGAGTGATAGGTCGAGTTTTTTCCTAGATGAGTAATGCTTTGGTTGTCACACTTCAGCTCGAATTTGACTTGATCATGGTCGAGTTTCGTGAGAAACTTCTTCATCCATAACATTTCTTTGCAAGCCTCAGTAGCAGCTATGTACTTGACCTCGGTTATCGAAAGTGCCACACATTTCTGCAATTTTGATTGCCAGGAGACAACTCCTCCTGCAAAAGTCATCAAGTATCCTGTGGTCGACTTCCTCGAGTCGGTATCTCCCCTTAAATCAGCATCCATATAGCCTTGTAGCTCAGTCATACCTTCTCTAAAACGGAGGCATAAACTTGTCTTTCCTCTGAGATATTTGAAGATATACTTGACAACTTGCCAATGCTTCTTGCCAGGGTTAGACAGATACCGGCTTACCATTCCAACAACATACGCTAAGTTTGGTCTCGTACATACCATTGCATACATCAAACTTCTGACGACGGATTGGTACACGATCCTCAACATTTCATCATTTTCTTCATTAGACCTCGAACATTGCTTTTGGCTCAGCTTTATGTGTTCGACTAAGAGGGTGCTCACTGTCCTGGCTTTGTCTATGCTATATCTTTTTAGAATTTTCTCAATGTATTTTTCTTGACTTAACCACAATAGCTTCATATATCGGTCTCTTATTATCTTGATTCCAAGTATTTTCTTTGCAGAGCCAAGGTCCTTCATTGCGAAAGACGAGCTCAACGCCTTCATCAGGGCGATTATCCTCGATTTTTCTTTCCCTACAATCGATATGTTGTCAAAATATAAAAACAAAATCAGAAAGTCACCGGCCTCATACCTTTTAACAAATACGCAGTGGTCAGCCTCCGTCTTCATAAACTTGTGCTCAATCATGAAGGATTTAAATTTCTTATACCACTGTCGAGGTGCTTGTTTTAAGTCGTACAAACTCTTCTTCAATTGGCAGACCAGATCTTCTTTTCTTGAAGCTCAGAACCCTTCAGGTTGCTCTCTATATATCTCCTCTTCTAGATCGCAGTGAAGGAATGTGATCTTTAAATCCATTTATTCAACTTCAAGATCCATTGATGCCACCATGGCTAATACCGGTGTTTTAAAACTCAGACAGGTCATCAACTCGGTTGCAGTACTGGGTCACTGGGTCATCAGTTCAACCGGGTTCAACCGAATTTACTATTCTTATATTAAATAAAATATAAACATATTACTTATACTAAAAATTCACATAAGAAAACTATCAATGAGTTTTGAAAAATAATTTGGTTTTCAATGATAGCAAATATTAAATACTTCTAGGCTTCTAGCTCTAGACCATATCCTAACACTGATTAAAATTGCAATGCAAGCTAAACGCACCTTTTGTGCCTTGACTTGACACAGATAAACTAAATCATGTAACAAATGGTAGGCATGAAATATACACTAAGGAGAAAATGTTCACTGTTGAGATGAGTCCATCAGTGTTTATCTTCACTTAACTTCTTGAGATCATTATAAGATGCAACTAAATTACATAAACGAATTGCACTAATCCAAAATACCTTCTTATTTTTACTTTACTTTTTAATCATATTTACCACAAAATATGAGTATGATTTAATTCAAGAGTTCTCAGCATCAACAACAAAAAAGTACCCAAAAAATGTTTTTACCAAAAAAAAAGAAGGCCAACCGGTCTAACCCGGGTCATCGAGTCTCAGCCGATCTAATTCATACGTCTAATTTTCGTGCAAGGACTTCATCTCGTCTTGCATTTTTCTCGGAACTCGTCATGGCTTCATCATAGCATTGAGCTTCTCTATCTTCAACAACAACTGTGTATTCGTCAGGTGCATACCTTGTAGAAGATCGTCTTACTCGAGTAGAGTGTCTGGGTTGTACTTCAGGTTGAGAGTCTGACTCATCATGCTCATCTCGGATCTCAGGAAGACCTACTTTAGTTTGTCTTTCTTCAACAGTGGTTATTGTTGTTACTGGCCATTTACTTCATTTTCTTGATTGGTTTCTCCCCCTGCTTCAGCTCGGACAGGAGGGACAAGTTCATCACCTCTAACAGCAACTTGAACTTTTGGCTTTGAGATATTTTTAATTGTCTCGTCTTTATGAAAGACTACATCCCAGCTTCTCACTATTTTTTTGTTGATAGGATCTCAAAGTTGATATCTGAACTCGCATTTCAGCGAACCGAGGTATATGCATTCTTTTGTCTTCACATCAAGCTTCACCCTCTCATCTTTAGGAAAATACACGAAAGCTAGGTGTTGGGTCAAAAGCTGTTGGGTGAAAAATATATATGCTGTAGAACGTTCCTCAGTTCTTTAAGAGAAAACACATTTGCTCTCTTAAGTTCAACCCAATGCGCAAGTGCACACAACAAGTAATAAATGGGACTTTTAAATAATATGCCCCTCCCACTATTTTATCCAAGTCAATGACCCTTAAATTTGACTTAGGGTTATTCTACTTTTTTTTTTTTTGATAACAGGGTTATTCTACTTTTAGATTGTACTTTAGTGGGATTTTAATAGTGCGATTATTTATTTTAACCCTCGTCTGAGACCGCAAGATTAAATTAGATAATAGGCTGATCCTTATCAACAATATCCCATACCCTCTCTTAACATTAGGTTGACAACTCCTTGTCATTTAGTGGTGCATCTCATGCAACCAACCTAGCACTATTACCTTAAGCACATGAGCCCGGCTGGGCCTGCAACTCATGCACTCAGTTAAGCACTAACCAGCACCCTAAGTGTCTAACACTTCTAATACTTCTCTCACTCAACGAAACAGTGGGTCCCAACTGAGTTGTGGAGCACCACTATTTAGAGAAGGTTTGAGTAATATTGGTGGTAGGAGGTAATCATGCACTTAATAATTGATACCTTTAAGGGTTCCTTTTATTTAGGGTTTACTAAGTCTCATCAAACGTGTATGTATTATTATCATGCTAGTCGTAATCTATGTCAAACATCTATCGGATTATACTAGTCGTAATTGGACGTGCACAATAATACATACAAATGCGATTTTTCCAATTCATGCATACTAGTCGTTTTAAAACGTAAAAGCATACATCCGCAATACACTATCTCATGCATACTAGTCATTTTAAAACATACAAGCATATAAATAAAACATTTTTTATTTGAGACGGTCATGGTGTTCGCGCATTCTTCCATCTTCCTCCTTAGGCCACGGCTCCTTCTCGTCTAAACGCCACTAGCCTAATTCTCTAATTACAAAATAATTAAAGAAACTCCAAAACATCTTTGGAGGGTCAAATGAAAATACAAAAATTTAAAATTCAAATTTACACCTCTAATTTAAATAAAGCAAAATTACACCTCTAATTTAAAATTAAAGAAAAATTTGAAATTTAAAATCGGGCACCATGACCATCCCCTTCCAATTTGCACCTGAAAAGTTAAACAACTTGCAAGCACACAATTTTTATATTAAATATATTCTCACTTATATATTGATAATTTAACAATTAAAATATCAAAACAAGAATCAAAATTCAAAATCTCCTAATTTTCTCCAAATGGCCGAATCATGCATACATAATTCAAATCTTTGTCAATTCTTTCTCAAAGAACACAAAAATTAAATCATACATATAACCATAATCTTAATATGGCCGAACCATACATGCTCATGTATTTAGAAATTTTATCACAAAAATTTTATGCTTTGCTCATGAACAATTCATACAAAAATAAAGAACCCTTCTTTTATACATATGGTCGAGTTATGCCATAAGATCATGGAGAAAACAAGGCATTTGAATATTCACTTCATGGCCAAATCATATTCCTTCCCAAAAAAAAATGTTTCTTTTAAAAACTTTCACAAAGAATCATAAAGAAACAAAACCATGAGTACACGTAGATATATGAACACCATAATCATATTAATCAAGTTCATGAAAGAACAATCTTTAACATTTTAAAGCATTGTAATTTATATCCACATGCAAAGAATCAATCTTTAACATCTTTAAAGATTTTTTGACCGTGAAGAATACATTTTTACAAACAAAGTACCATCACCCGTCTATGGTAAAGCAACCAGGCTCTGATACCACTTGAAAGAAAGGGCCTTGAAGGTCGTAGGCATGTGAGGATGAAAACAAAAATTTTCAAAGCGAAAACACACATACCAATCAAGATACATACTCTAGGACAGAGAGATACCTTGTTCGTAACTCAAAACTTGAAGGTGATCAGTGTTAGGCTTGAAGGTTCAAACCCTCTAATGTGTAACACCCCGTATATATCCGGTAATGTTATCATACTATCGTATTAAGCTGCGCTTAATTAAAAATGCGGAATATCTTTTTCTTTTCAATTATGAAGTCAATACCATTACCAACTTGCTTATTAATCAATTAATAAAACATCGCATGTATGCAATTGTAATAAAACAACTAATTGAAATACCTCATTAAATAAAATAACATAAGTATGTCTCTAGTCACGAAGCTACAACACGTAGACCGGACCAACTAGAAGTTTATACAAATCAACTCAAAAGTACTAACAACATGGTGGCATGGACAACTCCCATGCTCACCCCAAATAAGGAAACAAAGCCCAACATAAGTTTCAACTCAACAGCAACATAAAGATAAGGGCGGAAAACATAAACAGCATCCAATCCAGTCATGCCAGCATAATATGAACAGCACAAAACATCAACTAAGCTCTGGCCTCCTGCCACCAGAGACATCAGTCCCCATACTACCTGAACCTGAAATAAGCATTCCCCAAACGTGGGGTGAGATCTCTAAACAAGAAATCTCAATAAGACAAGGGGTCCTCAAGGATCTTCCACCCCAAGCTCACTTACATGTGCAATATAAGTTCAAAAGCAGTTTATCATCATCAGTTGTAAAATAGTGCAATGCAGCAGATAATCATGTCATACGTGTCAATTCAATTCTACTGGCCAGAGAAATGCAGGATTTATATACGTCTAATACCCACACATAGTGCAAGACGCCACTTGCATCCACCCCGGATCACCGTCTTGTATGACGCCACATACTCAGGCTTACCGTCAAGATGGAACAACACATGCATATTAAAAGCCATTACACATAAAGCTCAACAGCATTTCAAATATTCAAAGCATGTAACATAACATGCATATAACCATACCCCCATGGGACATGGTGGAACCACAACATGGCTAAACCGAGGACACGAAAGCTTACCTTGTAAGCTAACTATCCAAGCCAAGAGTCCGTACAAGCTCAAGACCCACAAACAGCACAATCACAATCTGTTTATATGAGAAATTTCATCAATAACCATACTTTAAAGGTTCTTTTCATTATGACAACATTTTCTTATTCGATTACGTCTTTTCTAGATCATAATTATCAAGCACTAAGTCCCTTAATTATAGGTATCACTGTTTCCTAACAGTAACACCAACTTCCTAGGCCATCAAGCCCACATGGGAACTGTCCCACACACAACAAACTAATTTCTGGTCATTTTCACATGTGGTAATCGATTACTGCACATGGTAATCGATTACCACCAGCAAGGTAATCGATTACCACACATGGTAACCGATTACCAATCAAAAGTAATCGATTACCACGCGGGAAGAACAGCATTATGCAGATTTTTTCTGCATAATCTGAAGCCAAATTGCCACCCCATGACCCAAGGTCCGGTTTTGACCCAAAATAGAAGTTCAATACCACATTTTAGACTTAGATTAACAACCGTAAGCTTGAATGATTAAAGTTAACTCATTTCATAACCAAAAGCAAGCCAGTAACAAGAAAATTCAAAGGAAAGTTCAAGGCATACCAATGGAGGTTCAAACTCAGCAAAAAGAAGGCTCTTGGAGCTCTCCAATAAGGCTCAAAGATTCTGACTTTGCAAGAGCACGAAAATACAACACAAGGTTGGACCTTTCTCTTCAAAGATGGCTCTTTTAAGCACCAAATGCCATAACCATGGCTTTCCCAAAGAACACTCACCATCTCAGCCCACTAACACCCAAAAACCAGAAGTTAAACTCAGCAAATAAGGATCTTTAACTCACACAAGGCTTGTCCTCACAATACTCGACCATTTTGGTGAAGGAACCATGACCAAAGGTGATCACTTTGGTGAAATAAGTGAAGGAGAAGCTATGGAGAGGAGAAGGGAAGGTGGCAGCTGAAAGGAACCAGAAAAATCACGTAGCACAAATGTAATTCTGACCTAGAGCTTTGTGCTAAAGCTTATATAGGCCCACTTAAACATTAAACACACAGATATAACATTAATTACTACGCTTAGCATTTTAATCCCAAACTCAAGATTCTTAACCTACTCAATTTTACAAGAATTATCATATTTTTCTTATATTTTTCGGAGCACCTTTCTGGTACGCATTTTTCATAGCCAGTACCAGTTTCTGGCACCAGTTCTCATTATTTTAACTTGAAACTCGTTTTACAAGTCCTAAAAGTTATTCTAGTAATTATCATGCACTTATTATAATTTTCTGGGATACTTTTTCGGTATGCATTTATACAGACTAGCAGAACCGGTATCTGCACTTTTCTTTCGAAAAACGACTTTCAGCATTATTACCCACTTACTATAATTATTAGAGCCTCATAATAATTATTAGGGTCAATTATGGAATTATCTCATTAAACTCATAATTAACTGATTAATTTCCTTAATTAACAGTGCGGGTTCTTACATTGATCCACACCACCCTTTGTCAAGACGCAAGAACTCTTCTTGAAAAGCCACCAACTCGAACACCACAAAGGAGCAAGCTAGGCGTCCCTTGTGAAGAGGTAGGAGGCTCAGTTTCAATATGTTTAGATGAGAGAATTTTCAGCAATAAAACTCACAAAAAGTGTCACACAAATTGTAGAAGAGAATGACCTTTTATTTTCCAAAAACCTAATGAGAATATCACAAAAAGGAAACACTTAAGGAGATGAAAGATGTTATCAAAAAAAAAAGGAGATGAAAGAGGAATAAACTTGAATCATATTTTTCACCAAAAATCTGATCATGGAGCGCCCTTTTTGTGGAGGAAAGAGTGGAGTTGTTGCAAATCAAATCTAGTCAACAAACTCCTATCCTATCCTCTTAAAACTAAGTCTGCACCTAGTCAATATTCTGACCTAATAACCATTATATGATCAGCCATATTGTGCGCCCCAATCAGCCCAAAATCATTCAAAAAATATTGATTAGTTGCAATTCAGATTGAATCAACTAAATCAAATATTTCAACAACTAACCAAATCTGAATGGAGCTTGATTTGTTGATTAAATGACCATCATTAAGCCACCAAATCAGCTCCCCAATCATCTTTGATGATGTCCAAAGATCTCCTCTTGATACGTGGGATTTGATCTTGACAAGATACTATCAAGATCTTATCCTTTCCTTTTGTTATGAAACTTCCTTTCATAGCCAATTCAAATTTGAACATTCTAATTTCAATATTCAAATATTTAAATTCAAAATTCAAATTTATTATTTAAATTTTAAATTTAAACATTAGATAATTAATTTCACTAATTAAATTAATTAATAATGTCTTGGACCATCCAAGCCCATTACAACAATCCATGCGCCCTTTTCCCTCTAAGGTGGGCATCCAAACTTCTTCTTGGGCTAACAACCATTATTAGGCCCAAAACCTTTAATGTTATAATGTCGAGACAATAAGGTGTTAGTGTATGACCCATTAGGCCCAACTTAGCCACTAACATAAATGGGCTTGGGCTTAATAAGACCACAACTCATTTAATGACAACACAAAGCACTAGCAATGCTTTGTTGCCCTAGAGCTAGTTCGATTAATGACATGATCATCCTATTAAATGTATTTGGTTACCGTATGTATTTCCTTTCGTCTCAGTTACCTTCCCATTAAACCTAGGGTGAGGAGATGTATCAACCATTGCGGTTTAGGGTAAGCTTTTATTCGAAATAGGGAATCTTCAATTTACTGACTCTAAAGGCAGATCATCTCATGATCTCTTTTACTATGCATAGATTTCTGAGTCTCGTAAATGTCATCCCGATTTCTCCGATTTACAGATAACCTAATCCCTCACAGAGATTTGACGAATTCCTTCAGCTTATCACCTTAGGCTTGTGTTCTTTCAGGACATTCCCAAAGGTATACCTATGAATCTCCATGTTTCAGGCAGACGAGGTATACAATCAAAACATGCATCTAGAACATAGTGTAGGTGAAAAACTTCTGGTCTAAGGAAAGACATACCCAAATAATAAGAGGCTGCTCTAATGATACTATTTGTGAGATTTCCTCATAGAGCCTCTTTGTGGGTCTGTTTAGTGCGAGCTATACCCTTATAGGTCCACTCACGACTTTAGCTAAGACATCTCTATATCTGTAGCTCATGAGGTCTTTACCTTGTATCTGACTACAAGTAGATAAGCTGTGCTAGTCTTACCCGAGATTACTGATCCCCATTTTCAGTGTCTCTAGACTAGGAACATAAAATTAGGAATAAACATATGGTATCCTTGAATCCTCATGATCGTGATCTCATCACAGATACTCAAGAGATACATATTCTATTCCAAGGGGTTTATCCAGTTACTCATATATAAACAATGATATTGAGACAAAATATGAAACAGGATAAAGAGTGCTTATGATTTATTTGCGTAAAAGGTACAAAAATGTCCTAATCTAATCAAAAGATTGTCTCTAGGACATCCATATACTAACAGAAAGTAGCATCAATGAACTCAAATATTTGAAATCAGTTGTCCAAGAGACCCTGAGGCTACACCCTCTAGTTCCTCTTTTACTTCCACGAGAATGTGGACAAGCATGTGAGATTCATGGGTATCATATACCCGTCAAAAGTAAGGTCAATGTCAATGCTTGGGCAATTGAAAGAGATCCAAACTACTGGACTGAACCAGAGAGGTTTTATCTAGAGAGATTCATGGATAGCTCCATTGACTACAAAGATAGTAATTTTGAATACATTCTGTTTGGTGCTGGAAGAAGAATATGCCCAGGCAGCACATTAGGTTTAATAAATGTTGAGATCGCCCTTGCATTGTTGTTGTATCACTTTGATTGGAAGCTTCCTAATGGAATGAAAAGTGAGGACTTGGACATGACTGAGCAATTTGGAGTGACTGTTAGAAGAAAAGATTACCTGCACTTGATACCCATTGTTTCTCATCCATTTCGGGTAAGATAAACCATAAAAATAAAAGCTGTAAGCTTTGAATTTGTTATTCCTCATTTACTTTTTGAAATAAAGCTTTGTCCATCTTTGTTGATTCTAGTGCATCTGAAGACTTTGTTGAGAGAAGTTGTTTTAGTGTAAATTACTCTTCTTTTTCCTAAGTACACTTTATGTCTTTCCTCCTCTCCTCTCTGATGTATCCTCTTCTCCTTATGCCTACTCTAGTCTCTTCTATTCTTTGACTCTGTGTAGGTAGTTTATGGATTCTGGTTCATGCTATAAGTAAAAAAAAAAACCCATGCACTATTCCCTTAAATTCTACTTGTGCTTCTCTAATTTCCATTCAATAGCTGCCATTACAAATGGATAATGGAAAGTTTTGAGAATTAGTAACTAGCTGTTTGAACTATGCAAATTATACTTTGTCAGCATAACTTCAAATTTCTCATCAATTCTGCACATATACTTAAGAGTAAAGTTGCATACAAGATTTCCCTCAACCCTACCCTCGCAAATCAGGGACTAACTGGTAGTGGGTTTTTTTTTTTACCTAGACTTAGGTTCAAGCCATAAAATATGTGGCAGGCTACGCAGCAAAGATTCTCTTGTTCTATATCTGAGAAAAGTTAATAATATAGCTGAAATTAATCATGTGATACTTTTAAGGCAGCCCCTTCAAAAGGAGCACCATTCTGTGGTTCACTATTACGAACACCCTTACAAGGGCTTTTTGACCACTATAGCCCTTAATTAATAATTAATTACCAAATTGACCTTCATTATAAACTATTTCGAAAATTTAACCTCCCCAAAAAACATAACAACAATCTGCCCCTGTTTGACCGTTGACCACAAAGCCCACCTAGGTATCACCCTTCATACCCGGGTATTTTTTTGAAATTTTTACTATACCCGGGTAGGGAGGGGGATACCGGGTATATTTCTTGAATATGGGAAAATGCTTGAATTATTTACTCGGGTAGGGAGGGGGATACCCGGATAAATGTCGGCCAGAAACCCCAATATCAATGGATTTCGGCCATTGTTGCGAGGTATAGGTTTTTTCCCCACAAATCTCTCTCCCTTGACATCTCTATTCCGAAACATCACACATATATTTCATCTCATCATCTCAAAAAGCTTAATCTTGGTAGGACATTGGCATTACACCTCCACATTCCCATTTTGTGCTCAAAAATTCGAACCAAGATCTAAACCCAAAACCTAGATCTAATCTTCGTGTGAAAGATGAGATCAAGTCCAAACATGGTTCCTATAGTCCAAACAATGAAAATTAAAGTGGGCACTACATGCAATGAACTGAAGGAGAGAATTCTCCAAAAAATGGGGTTATAAGGCATACAATCCATCCACCGCATGATAGCCAGGTTAGAGACTGTAGTGGATATGGATACAATATACTACATTGGTAATGATATCAATGATGATGAAGATGTGGAGTTCGTAACGGATGCGTTTGTTGGATGGAAAGTATTAAAATTGATTGAGATATATGTTGAAGTTGATGCTGGTCAGTCTTCATCTTTATCGGTGCATACAACACTGCACACTGTAATGGTCAAGAAGATACAGTTGTATGATCATCTGCACCTGCTCAGGTAGCATTGGATGAGGATGAAGAGGATGAAGATGGGGAGTATGTGGATAGCGAAGATGAGGGGGAACCTGAAAGTGCTATTCCACAAGGTGATTCGTCAGACACTGACGTGGACGAAAATTTTGACGCTGACATGAGCGCTGTAAGTCTGGGTACCCCTAGTTGTAACGCCCGGCCGCTTCAAGAATCAATGACTATCCCCACATACTAACACGAGACTTTTCAGTGTGCTTTTTTCTCACTCGCACACTTCCCGGGAAAACTTCCCAGGAGGTCACCCATCCCAGAATTGCTCCAAGTCAAGCACGCTTAACTGTGGAGTTCTTCCGATCCAGGCTACCGAAAAGCAGATGCATCTTGTTAGTATAGGTAGTACCAATTAATTCTTATAAGCCATCACAAGCCCGGCCGCTTCAAGAATCAATGACTATCCCCACATACTAACACGAGACTTTTCAGTGTGTTTTTTTCTCACTCGCACACTTCCCGGGAAAACTTCCCAGGAGGTCACCCATCCCAGAATTGCTCCAAGTCAAGCACGCTTAACTGTGGAGTTCTTCCGATCCAGGCTACCGAAAAGCAGATGCATCTTGTTAGTATAGGTAGTACCAATTAATTCTTATAAGCCATCACAAGCTGTGCAGTCTCATACCTGCATAGTCTTTGGAATCTCTCTCTTTCGGGTATCGATTCGATTCATTCATGCATGTAACCCCTACTGGAAGCCTGTCAGGAGCCGCTCCTTGTCTGTGCCTCTTTGCACCGGCCATCACTCCCCGCCCTCGTCAGCGCTCGGGATGTTACATGCCCACCAGCATCCGCCTGGTTCGTCCTCGAACCACACCGTACTGGAAGAGAGGCCTGCTCTGATCCACTTGTAACGCCCGACCGCTTCAAGAATCAATGAGTTATCCCCACATACTAACACGAGACTTTTCAGTGTGCTTTTTCTTCACTCGCACACTTCCCGGGAAAACTTCCCAGGAGGTCACCCATCCCAGAATTGCTCCAAGTCAAGCACACTTAACTGTGGAGTTCTTCCGATCCAGGCTACCGAAAAGCAGATGCATCTTGATAGTATAAGTAGTACCAATTAATTCTTATAAGCTATCCCAAGTTGTGCAGTCTCATACCTGCACAGTCTTTGAAATCCCTCTCTTTCGGGTGTCGATTCGATTCATTCATGCATGTAACCCCTGCTGGAAGCCTTGCAGGAGCTGCTCCTTGTCTGTGCCACTTTGCACCGGCGATCACTCCCCGCCCTCGTCAGCGCTCGGGATGTTACATGAAATGTAACACCCCGTATATATCCGGTAGTGTTATCATTACATCGTATTAAGCGGTGCTTAATTAAAAATGCGGAATATTCTTTTTCTTTTCAATTATGACGTCATTATCAATTACCATCTTGATTACTTAATCAATTTCATAAAATATCGCCTGTATGTAAATTGCAATAAGACATCTACTGAAATACCTCAATATATAAATAAAGTGTGTATCTAAAATCACGGATCTACAACTCGTAGTCCGGACCATATCCTGATACATTATTACAACCCCAAATAAAACAAGACATAAACAAGACATAACAATACTATATGTCATGGATAATCCCCATGCTCACCAAATAAACAGCGTAAACAACAAGTCTCAACATAAACTCCATAAACATAATTGAAGCTATAAGCATATAAGCAGCATGCAAATCCAGCATCCAACATGTCAGCATAAATAACAGCAAATCTAACTCAGCTCCGGCCTCCTGCCGCCTGAGGTCTCAACATTACCTGACCCTGAAATAAGCATTCCCCAAACGTGGGGTGAGATCTCTAAACAAGAAATCTCAGTAAGACAAGGGGTCCTCAAGGATATTCCACCCCAAGCTCACTTACATGTGCAATATAAGTTCTAAAAGCATTTATATCATTATCAGTTCCAAAACTATGTAGTGCAACAGATATCTATGGCATGTGTGTATTCACTATCTACTGGCCAGAGAAATGTAGGAATACGTCTATTCCCTACATGTAGTACAAGGAACACCGCTTGCACCTCACCCACAGCCTCACCCTATTGTATGTTCTACATACTCAGGCTTACCGTATAGGTGGAACACCTCCATGCATATCAACAAGGCACTAGCATACAATAGCTCAACAGCATTTCCAAGACATCAAAAGCATGTAACACGGAATGCATATAACCATACCCCCATGGGAGATGGTGGAACCACAACATGGCTAAACCGAGGACACGAAAGCTTACCTCTAAGCTAGCTATCCAATGCCACAAGCTCAAAGTCCAATCACAGCAGATCACAATCTGATATGGACCAAATATAAATCAATAACATGTACCACATGCATACAAATTAAAGACAACACATTTTCATTACGTTTTATGTCTTAAAGCTTCTAACAAAACTACAAGCCCTTAATCACATGATTCTGGCTTAGTCTACTAATTACAGAAGTTCAACTTCATCAATCTAGGGTCCACAAACCCCCAATAGCCTACTGTACACACAACACAGCTACTGTTCTACGAAATCCCAGAATATCCAGATATTCCACGGGGACATATCCGGATATGCAATATCCGGATATCTCACTGTCCATTTCCGGATATGTAATATCCGGATATACAGATTCCCATATCCGGATATCTAATATCCGGATACCCAAATCACCATATCCGGATATCCAATATCTGGATATTTCACGGGCAGATATCCGGATATTTCACGACAGAATGCAGAAACTGCATTTCGTGAAGATATCCTTCCAAGGTTGGGTTTTTACCGATTTTAAACGCTTAAACATGCATTTCTAGGTGTGTTAAGCATTACCCAACAACAAGTTATCATCTTTTAGCCTTAACATGCATCAAGCTTTCATTTTTAAGCCTTAAAACTCAAGTTAAAGGTTTGTACAACATACCAAGGCTCAAAACTCAGAACAAAGAGGCTCTTGGAGCTCACTAGACACTCCCAAGATTCTGTCTCTCACTGCACACGAAAATGGTGCACAAATGTGGTTCTTTTACACAACAAGGAGGCTCCTTGAAGCTTCAAAACACCAAGAACAAGATGACTCCTCTCCAACTCCCAAACTCAGCCCCCTCACAAGCTCAACACAGTAGCTGGAACCTCAGAAAAGACCTTCCTTTCACTCCCACAAGGATGCTCTCAAGTGTTTACAAGGTTAAGAGAAGGGAAATCAAGAGTAAAAGCTTAGAGGCTCAACACAAATAAGAAGGAAGCACTAGAACAGTGACCAGCAGCTGACCACACCAGAAACTCACGTAGAAGAGAGTGGCACCTAGGGTTTTGTGCCCATAATAAGGGTATTTATAGCCAAAACTCACTTAAGCACACAGTATTAACTTTAATTGCTACACTTAGCATTTTAATCCCAAACTTTGAATTCTGAAATTACACATTTTTCCAAGAATTAACATATTTTTATTATATTTTTCTGAGCACCTTTCCGGTACGCGCTTCTCAAAGCCAGTACAAGTTTCTAGCACCAGTTCTCATTATTTGGACTTGAAACTCGTTTTACAAGTCCTATAAATTATTCTAGTAATTATCATGCACTTACATTAATTTTCCGGGATACTTTTTCGGTACGCATTTATACCGATAAGCAGAACCGGTATCTGCACTTTTCTTCCGAAAAGCGACTTTCAGCATTCTTAATCACTTACCGAAATTATTAAAGCCTCTTAATAATTATTAGGGTCAATTATGAAATCATTTCCTATTTTCACATATTTAATTAAATACCTTAATTAACGGTGCAGGTTCTTACACTAGCCATGTCACCACTTTATGTTGACCCAGTCTGTAGTGGTAAGTTATTAAATGTGGACATTTGCTTTAAACAATTATTATTTGCGGTGGTATTGATTCAGACAATAATGATGAAGCTTTAGATGCAGGGACTGCAGTATAGTCATTTTAGAATGAAAGCCAACATTATTCATTCATTAATTGGGCGCACCCTAATGACGAGTTGGAGATCCTATATGGGGATGATGACTTGCACAGAGGTTGGAAGTTAGGAGATCTGTTATTTGTGCAACAAGAATTTGGCTCCAAATATAGCGTTCCAGCCTGTGGCTGTCTTCATGGTCTCTGTTGCCATAGGCACTCCAAATCTATGCAGAATCTTCTGCACCAGAAATGCAAAAGGCAATTCATCCTTCTTTGACTTGGTAGCCTTCCACATCAATATGAATATATAATGCCTCCAGTTCACCTGTTGATGGTGAATGAGGGCCCACAAGATGACAAAGTCTTCTTCCAGCACCTTCGAGTGATTATGCGAGCGCTGGAAAATAATGCGTGTGACCACATAATGAAGAATGCGAGTAGACACCGACAAGTTGCTCACAGGATAATAAGCAAATTGTTCGGCCTCAGCATCTGCCCTCCTGGTCTCTGTAACAATGGCCTTCCGGTCATAATCACCAAATATACGATTGTTGTCTCAATCATATAGTGCTGCACCTGTGACACCATCAAAGTCGAACACTAGTAGCTCTGTCCAGATAAGAGCAGTCATGATGATATCAATCCCGCAGACACAGGAAGTCAGCTCGCCATGCACATAGGAAAGGTTCTGGTAGAATGCTCTAACCATAACCTCCGAGTATGGGCATCGCATCTCCGCAAGCACAAGCAAATGTGTCTCCTCAAGAAGCAACACAGTGTCGAAAAACGCTCCAAGTTGAAGAAGGCCGAATCCAGTGATTTCGGCTCGCAAATCTTCTGGCTCATGAATGACTTCACAAATCTCTCATGTGCAACACTGTCATCCTCAAACAAATATCCGAACGGCAAGTCCGGAGCCTGATGCATAGCAGCCTGGGGCTGAGAGGATAACGACCCATCGTGTCGACGCTTGGTTCTTCTCTCAGTATCCCTCATCGGCATCTTTGAAACGCGTCTAGAAGCCATTGCATCACACTATGAAACTGGAAAAAAGAAGCCAAAATCAGAAATCAGAAACATAAAGGTTAGGGTTAAGGTTAGGGTTAGGGTTAGGGATACAGTTAGTAATTTTAAAAATTAATCGGTCATAATCAAATGTTTAACCATGCAAACTACACAAACGCAATAATTTTTGGATAACAAGTGACAAACATATCAAAATCAGAACCCAATTGATAAAAAGGAAAAAAAATGAACCTTTGGTGTGGCATTTTCGTGCACCTTCTTGGTCTGCATTGTTAGAGCTGTTTGGAGAGCTTCATGAGCCTTTGCTTTTCTGTTTTGAACCTTGAGTAAGTGGTTCTACCTTTGATCTTGAGTTTAATGGGTTAAAAATGGTGTCTTGGTATGTTTAATGAGTTAAACACGTAACCAACTGTCATATGAACCTAATTGGATCTTAAGATGCATGTTTAAACTTCTGGAAGTGTTAAAAATGGAACCTTGGAAGGATATCTTCGCGAAATGCAGAAACTGCATTCTGTCGCGAAATATCCAGATATATACTCGTAAAATATTCGGATATTGGATATCCGGATATGCCCCCGAGGAATATCCGGATATTCTGGGTTTGCGAGGAACAGTAGTGTACTGTTCATCCAGAACTGATCTATGGGTTTGTGGACCCTAGTTGAGGAAGTTGAACTTCTGTAATTAATTAATGCAAGTCATAATCATGGGATTAAGGGCTTATGGCTTGGTGAGAAGCCTTAAGACGTAAAACGTAATGAAAAGGCGTTGTCTTTATGTTGTATACTTGTAGAGTATGATTGTTGATGTATTGTTGGTCCATATCAGATTGTGATCTGCAGTGTGTTGAACTTGAGCTGTGGACTCTTGGCTTTGGGTGTTAGCTTGCAAGGTAAGCTTTCGTGTTCTCGGTTTAGCCATGTTGTGGTTCCACCATGTCCCATGGGGGTATGGTTATATGCATGTTGTGTTACATGCTTTGGATATTTTGAAATGCTTTTGAGCTGATATGTGCAATGGCTTATAATATGTATGTGTTGTTTCCACTTAGTCGGTAAGCCTGAGTATGTGGCGTCATACAAGATGGTGAGTCTGTGGGTGGGTGCAAGTAGCGTCTTGCATATTGTGTGGGTAATAAACGTATTCCTGCATTTCTCTGATCAGTAGAATAGTATTGACACATATGACATGATTATCTGCTGCATTTCACTATTTTAGAACTGATGATGATAAACTGCTTTTGAACTTATATTGCACATGCAAGTGATCTTGTGGTGGAAGATCCTTGAGTACCCCTTGTCTTACTGAGATTTCTTGTTTAGAGATCTCACCCCACGTTTGGGGAATTCTTATTTCAGGTTCAGGTAGTATGGTGACTGATGCCTCTGGCGGCAGGAGGCCAGAGCTTAGTTGATGATATTTATGCTGTATTGCTGACATGACTGGATTGGATGCTTTTTATGTTTTCTGCTCTTTATGTTTTGAGTTGAGACTTTTTATTGGGCTTTGTTACCTTATTTAGGTGAGCATGGGGGTTGTCCATGCCACTATGTTGTTAGTACTGTTAGTCTGAGTTGTATAAACTGCTAGTTGGTCCGGTCTACGTGTTGTAGTTCCGTGACTAGAGACATACATTATGGTATTTAATTAATGAGGTATTTCAGTTAGCTGTTTTATTGCAATTGCATACAGGCGATGTTTTGAAAATGATTAAGTAATCAAGTTGGTAATGATTAATGACATCATAATTGAAAAGAAAAGGATATTCTGCAATTTTTAATTAAGCGCAGCTTAATACGATAGTATGATAACATTACCGGATATATACGGGGTGTTACAGTGATCCTAGTGAAGTTTGACCTAAGTCTAGCTAGGCACAAAACTATGGAGAAATTTGAAGCCATTCATATAAAAATCTAATTGCATTTTTCAAACATCAAGAACCAATTCTTAGATTTTTCCATAATCAATAGACTTTGACGCATTTGAAAGTTTTCATCTCTACGGGAATCAACAAAAGATGGACAAAGCTTTATTTCAGGAGTAAATGGGAAATAACAAATTCAGAAGTTATACCTTTTGCTTGTGATCTTTTATATTGCAAGCTAAGGAGTATGAGCCAAGGGAATCAAGTACAACTCATCTTTTCTTCTAACAGTCACTCCAAATTGCTCTGTCATGTCCAACTGATGACTTTTCATTCCATTGGGAAGCTTCCAATTAAAGTGATACAATAATAATGCAAGGGCCATCTCAACATTTATCAAACCAAATGTGCTGCCCGGGCATATTCTTCTTCCAGCACCAAATGGAATGTACTCAAAATTACTTCCTTTGTAGTCAATAGAACTATCAATGAATCTCTCTGGATAAAACCTCTCTGGTTCAGCCCAGTAGTTTGGATCTCTTCCAATTGCCCAAGCATTGACAATGACCTTACTTTTGACCGGTATATGATACCCATGAATCTCACATGCTTGTCCACATTCTCGTGGAAGTAAAAGAGGAGCTGGAGGGTGTAGCCTCAGGGTCTCTTTGACAACTGATTTCAAATATTTGAGTTCATTGATGCAACTTTCATCAACCCTTCCTTTCATAGTGAATACCTCTCTCACCTCAGCTTGTGCTTTCTTCATTACTCTTGGATCCCTTGCCATCTCTGCCATTGCCCAATCTATGGTAGTTGCTGATGTCTCACCTCCAGCACCAAAAATATTCTGAAAAGTAATTGCCAGTGAGGTTAAACTAATGCAAGGATATCCAAAGAGATGGCATCCAATATTGCACAAGTTGCAAGAGCTCATATGAAAGTTATAAAAAAAAAATCACTCCTGTTAAATCCCGACTAGCGAGGACAAGGGTGAGATATTTGCAAAGAGACTGTTTTCGTAAATGAGATATTATGGGGTAATTAAATATTCAACTAAATTCTACAACAAGAAGAAGAATTATCTTTTCAATAGTATTTGCAAGATGTTGTTATCCTTACCAGGATTATAGCCTTGACATTGTTATTAGTTAAGCTAATATCCTGGTTGCTACCATTGCCATCCTGAAATTTTAGGAGAACATCTAAAAGATCTTCCTCCTTTTCAACTTGACCTTGTTTGGCTATTGACTTTGCCTCTTTATGCTCATTGATGATGTTTTCCAGTATCTGATCAATTTGTTGATGCAACCTCTCAAGCTTAGGCTTCAAACCAGAGACAAGTTGAGGCCATTTAGCAGAAGGAAACAAATCTCCTATGCCAAAACCTGCTGCAACCTTTACTAATTCTTTTGCCAGTGATATGAATTCTTCTTGGTCTTTGCATTTCTTGCCAAAAGCAGCCCTTGAAGTGATTGTATATATTGATAAAAGTACTTCTTTGGTGAGATTGATGGGTGATCCTTCCTCTGATGCAATCCTTTTGATGACATTGGTGAACTCTTCTTCTCTTATGGGATGGAATGAATTGACACGTTTTGTGGTCAAAAGCTCCAATGTGCAAATTTTTCGTAGCTGTCTCCAATAATTTCCATAAGGTGCAAAAGCTATATTTGTGGAATCATAAGAAATTATTTTTGCTGATAAAAGTTGAGGCCTTGATGCAAAAATAACATCATTGGTTTTCATTACCTCCCTTGCATACTCTGGTGATGAAACAACAATTGTGAAGACCTCTCCAAGTTGTAAATGCATTAAGGGTCCATATATTTTGGCCAAGTCTCTTAATTTTCGGTGTGGTGTGGATGTAACAAGATGGGGTATATTTCCTATGATTGGTAGTTTCCATGGCCCTGGGGGTACCTTTGGAGTTGAGTCAGTTTTTTTGAGATTCCTCACTATTTTCAGTGCCACAATCATGAAGAGGAAAAAGGGTATAAGGGCTTTTAAGTCAAGGATTTGAGAATCCATATAGATAAAAAAAACCAGTAATGTGGATTGATTTCCTGCTTGTTTGAAGTACTTTACATGGCTATGCCTATAAACTGAGTTGTTCACTGCTTTTGTCGTTTACTAGTGTAGAATCTCTTGCAGAATCATCAAATTATGCTTTTATGCAAACAATTCATCTCAAACAGAGTGAGACATTTTGGTAATGATAAGATTAAAAAACAAGAATGAAAGTCAGTTGGTCAATTTTAATTACTCACAGTTTACACAAAACTGATATTTTTAATGCAATTTGAATGTGGCCCCGTCTTGCAACGTCTTAGCGAATGATATTTTTATATTCTGATGATAAGATTAAAATATAAAATTGCAATATATTTATATTCTGATTATGAGATTATAATATAAAATGCAAGTTAATGGGTCAATTCTAATACCTCATGATTTACGTTAGGCTAAGTATCTGTTCGGGAGGGAGGTTTTTTTTTTTTTTTTGTTTAATTTTCTAAAGTATCCTCCGATAGATGAAGATTAATATTAAGTGGGTTAACCTCTCCCAACAAAATCTTTTTCATACACTCAGTCACGGGTCGAATCTCTGTCAGCATGCTTAAGGAACCCAGTTATCTCTCTATCAACTTGAACTCTCTTTTTTAACTTCTCTTTTTCTTTTAAGTAGAAGCAAGGCCAAACAAGTTTTTACAAAAATTCTTATGATAAAAAGAGTTTTTTTTATAATGAAGAAAAAAGTCTAAAATCAAAAATTCTTAGGAAGAGCTTTTTTTTTAAATGTATCAGTTTTGTTTTTTTTTTAAATGTGTAATTTTTTTTAAATGAACAACTTTTAAGTAAAAAATTTTATATAATTATCAAACAACTTGTAATTTTATTTTCAAATCTCTTTTTTTTTTACTTTAGTTTAAAAATAGTTTTTAATCCAAATTTAATTTACTCTTTTTTAATGCAATTTGAATGTGATTGAACTTGCAACATGTTAGCGAATGAGCTAAACGGGCTTGAATTGACGCTTTACAACCGAACTGAAGAGTGAGTGCTCATGTCCGAAAGAGCGATGAAGGTGGAAACTTGGGTTGAAAGAGACGTAGCAGTGGGTGGGCCTCATCGCGGTTTCTCGTTCTCCACAAACACATTTGATATACAGAGGATGAGTAACAAAAGTTATTGTTTAGCTCCATCCACAATCTCACTTTGTGTCAGGAAATTGAGTAAGTGGGAGTGAGAATATGTGTTCGATCTTCTTCATTATCATATTTGCGAGAGATTTAAAGCATTAATTCCGACACTCGCCCCGAATAAGATTAATTTCAAAACGATAAACCGATTGAAATATCTTTTAAAAAAAAGCAAAATACAGCAATTCTAAATATCCGTAGTTTTTATGGATTAGGCCTAAGAAATAATACCATTGTTCTACCAATGTTTCTTTTCAAATATTTTACTCTACCAAATGTTTTACTAAAATGAATACTTATAGTATCATCTACGTTCTAAACTAATTACACTGTTTAGAAGGTCAGCCCAATAAATTGTCCTATTGAATAATTATACTCAATAGGGTGACATATTAGTTACAGAAGCAGGAAAACTAAATATCATATTTTCATTCATTCAGAAGAAGATACAAAAAATCTGATTATATTAGCAAAAAGGAAGCTAATAGAAAATACAGAATACACATTCGTGATAACAGAATGGATACTGATGAGTCTCTAATTCACTATGTATTAAAGGTCAATATGAGCATGAAATTGATTTAAAAGTAATTAAAAGTTATGAGAATTATAATTAAATTGTTATTTTATTCTCAACAATATTCTCATTAGATTTCTGATATTTTGCAGTAATTTCAGCTCAATAAAGAAATAATTAGAGATTTCAAGTAGAGTTGCTTTGAATTTATGAATCATCGAAGATTTTATCAAATCTTCCTTTGAATATTTTTAAAGAAAGTTTTCCATTAAATTAAAAAAATGGAAGATTTGAAAGATTGGATCAAAGATATGATTATAGATTCTAGTGAAGATTTCATTGAAGACATGATAGGAAATTAAAAGATATGGTTTTCATTCCTATAAAAAGGCATCTCTTGGAAACTCAAAAAAGACAATTCGACGGAGGCGACAATATTCAGAGGAAGAGACTCACGCTGGAGATCAGGATTCCGGAGAACTTGAAGATTGAAGACCATTGATCTTTCTTCTTCATCTTTTCTTTTCTTTCTTTGTTATGAATTCTTTTTATTTCTTTAATTTGTTTAAGTCAGACATGAATATGTCTGGCTAATTTCTTTTTGTAGTTGGGATCATGGACCCAATGTGAATTCTTTATATTTCCTGTATTGTTTTTATAAGTTAATTAGTTAGTTTGTTTTATTCTGTCTGTGTTAATTTTTCCATATCCTTATTAGAACTAATCACTCTAATTATAGGACTTTGAGGGTTAGGGCTCACAATAGACATATTCGGGTTTTAATCTGGACAGAGATAGAATAACAATTTGTGCATGACCTAGACATAGACTTACATAGATTGCAGACTTTTAATTCATTTGCTTAATGCTTAATTCATGAGGGATTACTAGGACACTAGGATTCTAATTGGGTTAAAGGGTTGAAATCACTACGATATTAGGGTTCAACTATTTTATAGGGAAATAATGAATTGTCTGAGCAAACAAATTAGTTAATTATAAAATACAATATAGGAATATAATGGAGGATCAGAGGTGAAGTGCATCCTGGCTACAGTCTTTTTTACAATTTTTAATCAATCTCATAATTTCTTGACGTTCTTGATACTCTTGCATGCGTTTTAATATTATTGTTTTTAAATTTCTGTTTTTAAATTACAAACCAAATTTATTTTCCAACTTAAGGGGAATAGTTAAATTAATACTTGGTGCATTAATCCTCGAGGGAATGATATTTACTTATTACTTGAAACAAACGGTATACTTGCCGATTTCGCAACACATACATGTGCTAACAGAATGCACACTTGTGCTAACAGAATAACAAATACAATCAGAACATATAAAATGAAAAATATTCATATATTAATAGCCCCCCTCAAGATGGAGAGTATATGTTTAGAACTCTCATCTTGGACAAAATACTGAGAATTTAGAAGGCAGAAGGGGCTTGGTGAAAAGATCAGCAAGTTGCTTGGAAGAAGGGACTGAAAATGTCTTCAAGTGGCCTTTAAGGATGTGCTCATGGACAAGATGGCAGTCGATCTCAATGTGCTTTATGCATTCGTGGAAAATCGAGTTAGCCGAGATTGATTATCACAAAAAAGATGTGATGGACCTGGGTGCAAAACATGAAGATCCTGAAATATAGAAAACAACCACAATAATTCACAAGTAAGATTTGCCATTGAACGATATTCTGTCTCTGTGGATGATCGGAACATGGTGGTTTATTTCTTAGACTTCCAAGAAATGAAAGAATCACCAATAAAAATATAAAAACCTGAAATTGAACGATGGCTATTGGGGAAAGCAGCCCAATCAGAGTCACAAAAAGCATTAAATTGAATAGTGACCATGAAGAAAAAAAGAGACCCTGTCCAACAATATGTTTCACATAGCCAAGCAGCCTATGGGTAGCCTGAAGATGGAGAACACAAGGAGAAGCCATAAACTGACTGAGATGATTGACAACATAGGAGAGGTCAGGCCTTGTGATGGTTAGATAAAGCAGACGACCAATAAGCCTTCGATATAGAGAGGGATCAGAAAGCAGGTCACTAGCCATGGAGGAAATTTTAAGACCAACATCCATGGGAGTGCTTCGAGGTTTGCAGCCTAGGTTACTAGAGTCTTTGAGAACTTGCAAGGCATATTAGCGCTAACAAACAGAAATTCCTTTGGCACTGCGAGCCACTTCAAGACCAAGAAAATATTTTAAACATCCAAGATTTTTTATCCGGAATTTGCTATTTAATATTGTAGTAAGTAGTTGCACCTCAGTGGAGTTGTTAGAAGCAACAATTATGTCATCCAAGTATACTAAAACAGCAGTGAAAGAAGTATTTGTAGAACGAACAAACAGAGAATGATCAAATTGTGATTGAAGAGATCCAAGTTGTAACAAGGTAGAAGAGAATTTAGCAAACCACTGTCGCGAAGCCTGACAAAGACCATACAAGGATTTGTTACAGCATTGGGAGGGAAAGAAGAAAGCTGAGAACAGTACCCAGAAGGAATCTGAATGTAAACTTCTTCAAGCGATTATGCATGATGGAATGCATTATTTCTTTTTGTATAACCTGGAGGGTATCCTCATTCAATCTCCTCAGGTCACCTTGTCCTCAGAGTACAGCCCGAAGGCGTTGGAACAACAGGTGCATTGAGCTTCGCTATCGGAGGAAGGATGAGACTAATCCCCCTTCGAGGAGAGAGACACATCCTCTGTCCCCTAAAATTGTTTCAAGAATTTGCTTGAGACAGGATTTGAACCTCTAACCCAAGCAAACCTTTGGGAGCTCAGTTGTCAACTGAGTTACCCTTGGGGGTTAAGGAATGCATTATTTACATCGAGTTGGATAAGAGTTCAATTGTGAATGGCTGCAAGAGCAAAGATGACTCTGACAGTGGCTAATTTTGCAACAGGGGAAAAGGTGTCGATTCCATGAAATCAACTGCTTCCTGTTATTGTAAGGTTGTGTTGTTGTCTTGTCACTTATAGGGAGAGTCAATCATAATGCTTGTTTTAATAGTTTCATTCTAGGATATTTAAATTCGTAAGGCACACTCTGTATAGCTGTGAGCTTGGTTGAAGAAACCAACTTTTCTTTATTAATATAATGGGAAAATTGTTTCTGCAGTTACTGCAGATTAAGTTATCAACATTTATTTCCAAAACGATGTCGTTTTGGTATTGAAATCTTAAAAAATTATAAATATAAAGACTATTATAACCCTGAAATAAGTTAAAATTACAAAAAATCATGATTTCCGCCCAAAATGACATCGTATTGGGCTTACTGCAGATAACTTATCTGTAGTTACTGCAGAAAAAGCGAACCCTAATATAATCTCACGTTTGGTTGAATGCACTAGCTACAAGGAAATAATATTTAATATTTTGAGAAATTTGTTTGTTTTAACGAGATTACTACTTCATGGAGTTTGCATTCGACTATCCTAATGCTAGTTTATGTTAAATAAGATTTTGCTTTCTTTTAGTTATTTGTTATAATAAATTGGAACTATTGTTGGATTATCTAGGGAATTTCCATATCAATGTTGCCAAAGTTGAGTTTCTACGCAGAAACGGAAGGGAATGATAAAAACATAAACCGTAGAAACGACAAGAAACGTAAAGTTTCTATTACTTAAGGTCATAATACAAAATTATATATACATACATGTAAAAAAATAATAGCATATAAGTCACTACTCAAAATTCAATAAACAACTTCATATTTAAAAATATATAATTAAGTTACATAACTATATAAGATATAAGTCCAAAAACACAAAAAAGAGTTTAACGACTCCTATAACCAAGTTCCAAAACATTTAAAGAATGAAGTTTAACAACTCTTAAATCGAAATACAGCGGCTTCACACTAGGATTTTTTTTTCTTCAGATAACTAGAAGAAGATATTGTGTATTTGATTTGGGGAAATGAAAATAGGATTTTTTTTAAAAAAATAAAAATAAAAATAACATCAAGTTATGAGTTAAAAGTTGATCCAGTTCAATTTTTTTGTTTAAGTAAAAACATAAAAACTTGTATTTCTACCCTTTTTAAGTTTTTACACGAAATTTTTATCAAATTTTACTGAGGAGATTTTATTTATGTTTCAACATGTATCACTTCAGTAAAAACGTGAAAACGTATAATTTTATATTTTTACACTAATTTTTGACAACATTGATCCATACCCTTCAATGTGATATTATTTCGCATGATCATTGTATGATAGATAAAATAGTTTGAATATTTACGTAAAAATCTGGAACATCTGATTATATAATCTTTGAATTATTGATTTAACTATTTTTCTCTATCAAGTAAGAGAAACTCGTATATTGTGATCCAGGACTATTCAGCAGAATTACAATGATACACAAACGTTGTAAGATAATACAATACTTATAAACCATCAGGCATCATACTACCAGAACAGATGATGAAAACAATATATTCCCCAATGGCCATTAAAGACGAAGAAGACCACTTATTCTTTTCTGAATTTCACTACTTTTTATAAAAACTCCAAGCTATCGTTTGAAAGAATTTGAGTAAAAGGACAGGAAAATCAAGTTTGCTTTCATTTAGGTGCTTTATTTCCCGACCTCTCTCAAATTTTCTCGGCAACAAAATAATTCATGGATGCCGATTCCAAACCCTTGAAACATTTTATTATATGATAAAAAATCAATAATAAACTCAGTTTGATAAATCTGGACCACTGGACCAAATATTACATTCTATACAGTTCTTTTAGACTTCAAAGAACCACTCTAGTAAGATCCAAAATTCTACTAATCAATGTCCCGACTACAGAATTTAATCAACTGTAGTTTTGTTCGATAATCATCTGTTATAGGGATTTGATACTAAGTACGGTCAATGAAACCAAAAACATAAAACAATTATGGTAAGACAAGAAATTTCAGCTGTTACCGGAGGTAGCCTAACAAAAACTGGGGGCATAGTACTGCTCTGCACACCTGTCCCGGCATTACCTTGGGTTTCAGGTACCTAAACTGCTGCCCCATATATATTATCAGATGATGATCATACACCTGTTCCTTCCTAAGTAATGAGCAAAGAGCAACTGCATTTTCTTAAAACGATAACTTTCGTAGGAAATGCCCATAAAAAACCCGGTTGCCCCATTGCCTACCTAAATTACCTAAAGCAATTGGAGTAGCATAAATTGATAGCAAGGACTAAGCCATAATTTCGACCTAAGAATCTGCAGAGTTCAAACGCCACTACAGCCTAAGTAGCAGAATTCCCAAGATGATATAACAAACCAGAAGTTGCCCATCTTAGTTGTCTCATATTTGTACAGTATTTAGGCACTTGGATTCATCAAAAACATTTCTCTGAAACATGCTTTTATATACCTAAAGTGCTGAAAAGACAACAAAGAAAGCATGTTATAAAATTTACAGGTGAACCTGCCTGAATTGGCATGCCAAGAAAAGGATTCCAATCTCACATGTAAATATTAAATGTTTAAATAATAATAATAATAATAATAATAACTAAAAACAGAAACATGCAGTCTTACAAGAGGCAATTCAAACCCCAACCTCGTCAATCTTTGAATTGCAATTCCTACATCCCAAGAATACCAGCTGCACAACCAATCCCCCCAGCACCTAGCCTACACGGGGAAAAACATGCATGTGAACTTCTTGATATCATAAAGCTGAACATAAGGGAATGAAAAAAGATAATAAGAAAGGACAAAAGCGAGAAGAAGGAACCAGTAAAGATAGGGTATTGCTAATGAGTGTAATAAGGACACTTGTTAAAGAATCAAAAACGAAATTTTTTTATGAAGGGTACAATTTTAAATATACGATCACATCAAAATGCTTTACATTTTCATTTAATATTTTTGATTTTTGATTTCTTAACAAGTGTTCTCAGGGCATTAGTTAGCAAAACCCATAAAGGTATAGCTGCCACCACCCAATAATTTAAAAATTAAAAAACAGTCATTTCATATAAAAATAGCCACCTGCCAGTAGCATAACAGCAAACACCGCACTTTTAATGATACCTGGCTAACAGGGCTATGGCAAATGGCACATAGCAAAGTGCAGCGTGTTTAGAAATATGGCGTATATTATATAAAATATGATATATTTAATACTATTCAAAATTAAAACAACACCCATCTTCAAAAAAAAAAAGAATTGAAAGTGTTTTAGAGAATGGAATAAAAACCAAGGAATTTTTCAAAGGAACTGAGAAGAAGAGAGGGAGTGGGAAAGGAAGAACAGAACATCATAGATCACAGCATTAAAGGAAAATGAAAAAGGGAGAGAAAAATAAATCTACAAACAACCAGGAAGGATATCCAACCTACTGGAGATGGCACATTAAAAGAGAAGTAGAAAATCACCCATTATCACTTATTTACTTGTAGACACAGGCAGCAGAAAATTGGGATATGGCAGAAAAATCAACATGCGCTATTACTCAGCAGGAAGAGCAAACAAACAACAGTACAGCCCAAAGTCATAGCCTCGCTCCCAATGGCCAACTGTTCTAACTGCATAACTACAAACCAAAACCAAATGCAAGCTGAAACTTAGGTTTATAGAGGATGTCCTAATTTACTATTATACCTAATTTAAAAACAATACTAATGAAAATAACCCCACAGCCCAGCAGCAAAGCTTACCCAAATTTGCCATAAAAACATATGGCCACCTTCCATCTTACTTAGCTTTGCATTTCTCATAATATGATATATTTAATTGATATATTTCAATTTTATATTATAATGCGAATATTATATAAAATATTATATAAAATATGATATATTTAATACTATTCAAAATTAAAACAACACCCATCTTCAAAAAAAAAGAAAAAAAAGAATTGAAAGTATTATTGGAGAACGGAATAAAAACCAAGGAACTAAGAAGAAGAAAGGTAGTGAGAAAGGAAGAACAGAACATCATAGATCACAGCATTAAAGGAAAATGAGAAAGGGAGAGAAAAATAAATCTATAAACAACATGGAAGAATATCCAACCCAGCGGAGATGGCACATTAACAGAGAAGCAGAAAATCACCCATTATCACTTATTTACTTATAGACACAGGCAGCAGAAAATTGGAACATGGCAGAAAAATCAACATGCGCTATTACTCATCAGGAAGAGCAAACAAACAACAGTACAGCCCAGAGTCATAGCCTCAATGAAAGTAACCCCACAGCCCAGCAGCAAAGCTTACCCAAATTTGCCATAAAAACATATATGGCCACCTTCCATCTTACTTAGCTTTGCATTTCTCATAACATGGGCAACAACAAATCAAAATAAGAGAATATAGGCGGGGCTGCAACTCAGAACTCAAAATCTATCAAGAGGGCTGGTATAAACTAAGTTTCTGAAAAACAGAAAATTTCATAAAATGAAACTTTTCCATTTATCTTTAACCCCAAACCCAGAAACAGACCAAACTAGTAAAAATAATTCATAGAAGCCTCTAACAAAAGCTCAATTCGGTAAGAATTTATTGAAACCACTTATCCCATTAACAGAATTGACTTCACCAGCCGACCTTAGATTATGCACACAAATACCCAAAATCATATCTACGATCACAATAAGCTGCAAAAAAAAAATGTCCCTCACAACATCAAATATGAGATCATCACCACACCAGAAAAGAACTAATTAACTCCCATCCATGACTAAAAGCTTGTAACAAATGAACTATTAAGGTTCCTACTCTGCAATTGTTTTCTTTATATAACAGCCTATTAGTATTATACATACCAACCAGTACATAAAGCAGAAAATTCCTACAAAAGCTAGCATACTCAAAGGTTAGTACCCAATTTTATTTTATATTCAAAATTACAAAAATTTTACCATAGATAGATAGCTGCAATCTCCGTAAACATACACAGACCACGAACAACTAAAAGCTCTAGAAGGTTCCATTCCATTCTCTGTTGATAAAAACACCACAAGAGAGAGAGAGAGAGAGATTATCAGATAAATAATTACCGTTAAGAAGAACAAGTAAAAAAACAAAACAATCACAGCCTCTCCTCTCTTTCTCGATTCCATTGTTCAATCCTAGCTCGCCGTTCCTCACTCCCTTCCCTCACCGGACTTCCATGTCTCCGCCTACCACCACCACCACCACCACCGTCCCTGTCTCTGTCCCTGCTACTCCTTCCTCCAATTCCCCTTTCGCGCCTCTCGTAATCTCTCTTCCTTCGCTGGCGCGGGCTCAAGCTGCGGCTCCGGCTCCGACTCCGGCTCCGGCTCGGGCTGATCCGATATCCACGGTAACGGCCGAATAGCTTCCTCCTGAGGTCTCTCCCAATCAACTTCACGTGCATGAAGTTACAATAACCGCCACGGTTACAGCTGTTCTCCTCGAATTGGCGACACGTGGCCTCGCGGAAGTCGGTTACGGGGGAGAAATCAGCGATGATGGGGCGGCCGGAGTAAAAACGGCCGTGGAGGGCGTTAAGTGCGGCGGCGGCCTGGTCTTCCTCGCGAAACTGGACGTAAACGTTGCCGATCATGTGATCGGCGAGGTTGTCGCAGACGTTGAGGGTCTCGATCTGGCCGAACTTGGTGAGTTCCTCGAAGATGTCCTCGTAGAAGTCCTCGAAGTGTTGTTGGATCTTGCGCGGGTCTATTGGTTGGCCCTGTGGGTCCACGCCAGGGGTTATCATATCGGGTCGCTGGTACATATTGGAGAGGAGGAGCGTCGGTGATATGCTTGGTCGATTGTGGAGACGCGAGCACCGGTCGCCGTGCCTGCACGCGCCGATCTTGAAGTAGAATGGACAGTTCACGCGGTCCTTCTCTGTTCCGAATATGGATGCAAGGTGCTCTGCCATACTTTAACCTTATTGATTAGTTGGTTGGTTCGTTGAGTTTGGTTTAATTTAACGCTCAGCTTCTTCTTCTGCTGAATTTGTGGAGTTCGTGGGTTTTGTGGAAACCCTAATAGATCGATCTGATCTCAACGAAATTACACTGCACTGTTTGTTCGTGCGTTCCTAGCTTAGCATTTTGCCAGGTAAATCAATCCTAGCTTAATTAAATAAATCTCGCTTTGGATAAATTTAAGAAATTAAAAATAAAAATTAAATATATTAACTCTTTTAAAGTGATTTAGTCCTGTATAATTACTTTATCAATTGTTAGTATTATAGTATCACAATAAAAATAATGTCTTACATAGGAATTTAAAATATTGTGATAATTTTTTTTTTATTTGTTACCACGACAACATATAGTTTTTAGTGGATGTTAAAAATGTTTCACCTTACAAAATAAAAATATTGCAATCAACTGCCATTTTCACAAATAATATTGCAAATGAACAGAATTGAATTGAAGCAATTAAATTGTTCCACGTTACAAAATTCTCCATCCACAAGGCATACATAGTATTGGTGCATTCTTATTTTCGACAAATCAAACAAACCCGAAATTCCAGTACCAACTTGAAGCAAGAGTTTAATATGGGTCAAGCTTTCTAGGGAAAAGCTGATCCGAAAGCATACTGCTGCTGCCTCAGGCATTTCTTTCAAAGGTTTCAATTATTATCTGGGGAGGCTGTTTTGAGGAAAGTTGCGCAATGGATTCTTCCTTAGTAGCTCTGTTTCCCTGCAGGGAACAATACATACATGTGTCAAGTCACTAGGGACTTTCTTTAGTTATGGTGTACCCAGATTGTGATATTGTCAGATGAATCGGAATTACCTTTTTAAGTCCATGTCGTCCTCCTGTCGAATCTGCAAACTTGAGGACTTACAGTCCTCTGCTTTCGAACTTTGTGAACTGTAAACATGTAATAATAGGTTCACTAGTATAATATAGAAAAGGAATCCAGTAACAGACAAATTGCAGTATGAGATGCTTTATAATGGAACCAATTAAAAGTGCTATCTGGCTGGATGACCAGAAGCACATGCACCATCATTCGTCTAGCGTCCCACAAAAATCATTCTTACCAGTATTATTTTAGAACTCTTGCACTAATCATTCTTACCAGTATTATTGTTTAGAGTAAATATCATTTTTGGTCCTCAGCAAATTTTACGATACCCGTTTTAGTCCCTAGCAAATAAAAAGGTCCATCGTGGTCTCTAAAAAATTCAAAATGGACCCATTTTAGTCCTTTTGAGGACTAATATGGGTCTTTTTTGAATTTGTGAGAACCACGATTTCAACTAAACGGGTCCATTTTTAATTTCTTAGGGACCATGATGGGCCTTTTTATTTGCTAGGGACTAAAACGGGCATCGTAAAATTTGCTGGGGACCAAAAAAAGGTATTTACTTTATTGTTTATCATGTTGTTATCTCCTACATTCATATAAAAGTACGTGGTGTCTATATTTTTTCTTTCTCTCTTCTCCTTACATGGACTCATATAAGAGATAAATTTATCTTCTATATACTTTTAGGTGTTAACACTTGACAGACTATGTTTGAAAAAGCAAAATTGGGTAGGTGCAATGGAGGTTGCCATTTCTGGGAAACATCTATGTATACCCAGCCAAACTGACAAGGCAAAAAATGATTCCACTTACTCTTGACATTCTTCATCAACAAACACCGGGATACAGGAACTTGCAGTAGCTCCCCCTCCAGTTCTAGTCCCAGGTCGCTGCGGAATCTGAAAGCATTCAGTAACTTTGACATTAAACGAATGCAGAACACAAACCCAAATAAAAAGTATAGTATTTTAAGATATAATATGATCAATCATGAAATGGAAGGCAAAAAAGAAAGAGGTCTAAGGTAACTGGCACCTTGTAGGATTTCCATTTGGCCGGAATTGCATTATTTTCCTTATTTCTTTCAGCTCGAGCTCCAAGTGTGTGCCAAGAGTGGGATAGGTCTGCCTGATGAGGGAGGGTATCACCACTGACAACTGAATCTTTATAAATAGAAATTGGAGCTGCTCGAGTTCTACATGAAGAGAAAACAACATAATTGAGTATCATCAAAACTTCTGAATGAAAATATTCTTAGGAACTGAGAAACCCTTCACGTTCTGAATGTCTACGGAGGAATGTTGCATGAGTTTGGAGTGTACATTTCCCAGGTTAATTTATATGTTTCCGGAAACCCATCAATTCATATATTTCTCTACAAGACGACACTAACTGTATAGTTTATAAACATAGCGTGCAATTCGAATAAGAAGTAAACAAGGATCCACAAAAGAAGAAATACAAGGGAAGAACCATTAAGTAGCCAAGTCCAATTAAATAAAGCCAAAGAAATAACCCTATTACCTATCATTCTTAGCAGAAGGATCACAATTCAAAGCACCTGCAACACAGGGAATATGTTCAGAATTCATAAATTTGAGACATAAGGTAATGCACAGAAAAAAAGGACTCACGATTTGCTCCCTTGGCAAGAAGAGTTCCAAAGGCACGCACAGGTGCCATTTTTTCCATTGAATCCTAAGTAGTGGAAGAAAGGCGGGGTTAGACAACAATATTAGATAGATCACAGATCACACTATTGTTTTAACAGTTCAGAAAAGGTACTCAAGCAGAACACCACATACATCTGTAGCTTTTGGCCTAGTCACTGAGCGTGCCAGAAATTTTCTGTAAGCAGCCTTCAATTTATCAACCGGTTGAGCATTCCTGCAAAATGGGCAACCCAATGAGGGATGGCATTGCAAGTTTGCAAAATATAAAAGTCGTTCGAGAATACAACATCAAAGTTTAAAGTAAAGTATGAGATAAAATCACATCAGAAAACAAAAACACACTAACACTACACACACACGTTTGTGAACCCTAACACAAACTCCAAAACCCAAGGCAACAGAAGGGAGGGAAATTCACCAAAGTTTTTGCCTTTCCAAATTTGTATAAAATGAAATCACATGGGAAAGCACTTTGAGCAATTAAACCAGTAAGAGTAATGCTTTATGCTATAAACAAATCCTCTTCATGACTTCAAACTGTAAATATTAAATGTAAAAATGAAACCATTTAATACTTTCTTCATTAAGTAATCAAGAGGATTCTAATGCCTGAGCATTAACCAATTGGCTAAACAGAGAGAAGAACGAATACAAGAAGAGCAAGAAAACACTATTTCTCTTTTTTCAATTTTATTAACCAAAAAACAACCTAATAACAATATGGTTCTCCAAGCCTTAATAAATAGGCAAAACGAAATAAAAAAAAAAGATAAATAACTATAATCACGCGCAATCAAAGTAGATAGCGCACAATTGACACACACTCTAACATAATCTAAGAATAATAAAAGAGGATGTTAAAGAGATACAAAATAATTAATTTAGCCTCTCTCAAAGTCTTAAGATTTTTTTTGGGTTGAAGGTGCTTATCACGATATCAGAGCTTTAGAGACCACAAAGTCACAAGTTCAATTCTCATTGCCACCCACTTTCAGGTGGAATTAACAAAAGCACAAGGCAGACTAAAAAATGGGTTTGTGCAGCACAAGGCACACCAAAAATGAGCTTGTGACATATTCACCCTTCAAGCCCAAAGAGCTCTTGCGTGAGAGAGTGTGTTAAAGAGATACAAAATAATTAATTTAGCCTCACCCAACGCCCTAATGTTTTGGGTTGTAGTGGCACTTATAAGAGAAAATAATTAACAATTATTGAAAAGTCCTAAATTATGGAATAAACTGTAAAAAGACCCAAAACTGTCGATGCTCATGGCAACACAACGAGACTTTGATAAACTCATTTCGACTTGACTATCCAAATTTGAGCCCAATCCAAATCAATCAGCTCGGGTGCATTAGATTCATTAAGAGAATATAGAGTTATTCAATTGGTATACATAACCGACATTATACGAAATTTCATTCACAAGCTTCAAAAGTTGAGGGTCAAAACCTAGATATGCCAAGTTCGAATATCTGGTTAGCAGCTTTGGACTTGTTCTTAGATTCCAAGTGCAAAGCATACGAAATGTAGAAAACCGAGTGAGTTTTCCCAATTTCATTTGCATCCAGAAAAGCATATATAACATCGGCATCAAAGCAATTATCTACCTGCAACAACATCATCAATTTCTTCATTCTTCCGCAACAATTGAAGCAAGTGTAATTATAAGAAAACAAATTAGAAATGGAACTGACATATTCAAGCCACACTTTGAGGTAGCGCAAATCATCCTTATAGCGCTCCGAATGCCAAAAAGCACGCACACACTGCTCGTAAATCACAACCAAACCCGAACAATCTCCACCTGGTGGAAACGCCTCCTGCACCCACTTGATACACCTTCAACACCAAGGGTTAGTTAGTTAGTTAGTTGCGAAACGGTTAGTTTGTTACGAAACCGAATTAACAAGATTGTTACGGAATTGGAGTAATAGGGGATCTGAAGAGATACTCACTGTAACCACGGGAGAAGAGGGTCTTCGCCTTTGTACTCATCGATGGCTTCAATTAGTTTCCTGAGAAAATGTCAAGAGTGAAAGAGAGAGAGAGAGAGAGATCAAAGAGAGTAACGATAAAATTGAAACTGTGTGTGTTAAGAGTGAGTGAGTGAGTGGAGAACCTTCGGTGGTTGAGGAGGGATTTCTTGAGGTTGTTGTCGGTGTGAGACTTGAGTGCGTGGTTCAAGAGGTTGACGTTGCGTCCCCTCTTCAATGGCCTCACGTTCTCTTTGAAGGTTTCCCACTCGTTACCGCTCTTTCTCTTCGACGCTAGAAACTCTGTCTCTGGATCCACCTTCTGAATCTCACCCTCCGCCATTGTTGTTGCAGTGAAAAGCTTCCTCTTCTTTTTCTTCTTCTTCGTGTTCTTGTGTTAAAGAAAGGGAGAAAAAGGGAAATTTGAGGGAAAGAGGGAGGAGCGTTGGGTGTTGTGATTCAAATTTTGAAAATATAATATATTGTATGCTAATTCTAGCCGTTACTTATATTCATTTATTTATTTTTAATTTTTTTACTTTAGTACATAGGTAATAAATGATAAATTTTAGTCATAAATTTTATATTATAAAAGTAATAATATAAAATAAAATAAATATATCCTATCTCATATAATAAATCAATCTAATTTGAGTCTATATACATTGTCGTGTAAACATGTATTAGTCATATTCTAAAAAGGGTCTGATTTCTTAAATTATTGTTATCACAGTCAAACTAATTTAATTGACGTAATAACTTATAATTATGTGATAATTTAAAACAATGTTGTATCATTATAAGAATTTTTCCATTTAGGTCATTATTGTTATTGTAGTCAAATTTTTTAGGGGCTTTGATTTTTGTCATGTTGCACAATAATTATTTTTTTATGTTGTAATCCATGCAAATCAAAATGTCACAAAATAAGGAAACACTTCTTATACAACAAAAAAGTGTTTTTCCCATTTTTTTAAAGGATTTTATGAATATAATATTTCATGACATTTCTTGTGTCATGTCATAGACACATAAATATTATGCGTATCACTATACAAAAAAAAAAAAGAAAAAAATTTGAAGTGGGTCTGGCACCTTTATAAATAAGTAGGAAAAAGAAATTATGTCATGTAACACGATATTTCTAGAGTAAATATCATTTTTGGTCTCTAACAAAAAATGCGGTTCCCATTTTAGTCTCTTACAAAAATAAATTAGTCAGTTAATCCCAAACAAATTCAAGGTGGATCCATTTAGTTGAAATCGTGGTCCCTCACAAATTCAAAAAAGACCCATATTAGTCTCTCAAAAGGACTAAAATGGGTCCACTTTCAATTTGTTAGGGACTAACTGACTAATTTATTTTTGTAAGGGACTAAAGTGGAGATCGTATTTTTTGTTAGGGACTCAAAAGGATATTTACTCATATTTCTATTTTTCTTCTTTAAATAATATAATATTATTGATTAAATAACAGGACCAAGTATTACTTTATCCCACTTTCATTTACCCATGAGTTGTGTACAGATAGGATAACATGAAATCAGAGAATAATGTAAGGATAGTTCATGTGCAAATAGCGCCATTTCGAAGGAAGACGGCAACGATCACGTTTTGAAAGTATTATTATAGGATTTTATGTTTATCATTTAACATAATATAACTTCATTTTCCTACACACACATTAAAGAGGTGGGGTCCACATGTTTTTCTTTCTCTTTCATCATTCCACTTTATCTCTCCCTTTTGATGTTCTCCCTTTTGATGTGAGAGTTGGAAACAACACTTACATTATGTTACATAACACTAATAAAACCCATTATTATATTCTAACATTCATAATGCTAGCTTGCACCACTGAAGCCAAATCTTAATTGTGTTGGATTGGAGTTTTAGTATGTCAAGGTCTCTATGGCTCGTGGTTCTGGATTTCGCACTTTCATATTGGAACACTAGCTTCCGCCTTGGCTAGCTGGACTGTAGCTTGGATTGTTGCTCAGCAGTTTTTAGAAGAGAGATATTTTCACTACCAAAATTTTTCACTATCAACTTACTATCTATCTAATCACCGTTAGATTAACATTTTCTCTCTCTTTAAAAATTTTTTAACATTCTCTCTCTCTTTAAAAACTTTTTAACATTCTCTCTCTTTGATCCAATGATGATGTGATAAGTAGTAAGTTAGTAGTGAAATTTTTTGGTAGTTAGAATATCCCCACTCTTTTTTTTAACGGTTTTCCATCTGATTCAGCCAAGATTTAATTAATTTGATTCAAGCAACTATTAGATCCTATAACTCCTATCAATCATTGTTATTTGGTTGAATGTCATATGTTAGAATGATGCAAACAATATGAACAAAAAGAATAATAAAATTATTTACAAAAAAAAAAAAAAAGAATAATAAAATGTTGTTATTGTTTAATCCTTGTGATCAAGAGTTGATGTTGAATCTTTGAGGGATGATGGTATTTGTAGAAGAGACTTAGTTATTGCGCACGTGGTGGCAGTCTGGTACAGTAAAAAAAAAATGGTGTATGTGCATAATAATAACATAGATGCTAGAATTTCAGGTTCAAACCTATGGGGTGAAACCCCTTTTTATAAAGGGTTTCTTACTTGAGGATAGGCTTGGACTAGATCACATGCCTAATAAGAAAACAAACTCATTGTTTCGATCCAATACAATTACCACAACAACAAGTTACAAAAATCTCCATTATGCACCATGATATCTTAATTACCTTAACTATCCCTTGATCATAAATAAAATAGTTAGGTCCTTTTGTGAAAAGAGCGGTGAATAAGTGGAATCAACTCAAGAAAATAAAGTACAAGAAGAAGGAAATATAAGACAAAGAAAGTAAGGGAGAAGAGATTAGAAATTCTATTATTCATTGTGTAAGAATACAAGTCCTACCACCTCTATATATAGATGAAGGTGGAGGAAAGGTACAAGCTCTCAATCTACCCTAAATGTTACAATACACTTAGTCTCCCATAATAATGCTCATTGTAACAAGGATATATTTTTCTTATGTTGTAGAAAAAAATTATCTCATGTTATAGAAATAAAAGTATAAATGGGATCCACAGGTAAGAGGAGAGAGAAAAAAGAGTGGTGGGACCCAACCCCTTTTATGTGTGTAGGAGAGTTGTTTATCTCATGTAAAATGAGATAAACCTAACCCTTGTAGCAATCCCATAAACTGTAGTAAAGTTCATTTGTAACACTCCCCCTTGGACATTATAGCGCTAAATCTATGCCTCGTTAAAACCTTGCTCGAAAAATCCAATAGGAAAAAATCCAGCAAAAGAAAAAGAGTACATGACTTATATTATCAATCATTGCATAATCTGCCTTATTAAAAACCTTTAGCTAAGAAAAATCCTGTAGGAAAAAAAACTTAGCAAAGGAAAAAAGAGTACAAATTTATACCTTCAGGGGCCCATCCTTCAGGGATGATAATAATTAATTAGCCCCCTAATGAAAGTAACTTATTAAGTTTACGCATACCTATTCCATATACAAGTTTCTCAAATGTAGAGGTAGGTAAGGATTTAGTGAATAAATTTTCAAGATTATCACTAGAGTGAATTTGATGGATATTTATTTCACCCTTCTTTTGGAGTTCATGTGGGTAAAAGAACTTTGGTTAAATATGTTTAGCCTTATCACTTTTAATATATCAATCACTCACCATGCAAGCTGCATTATCCCCAAAAAGAACAGTGTGGGAATTACTAATTATGGGTAAACCACATGAAACATTAATGTGTTCTTTCAAAGATTTTAACCAAACACATTCTCAAGCAGTTTCATACAATGCAATAATCTCAGAGTGATTTGAGGAAGTAGCAATTAGACTTTGTTTTACAGACTTCCATGAGATTGCAGCACCTCAGCAAAGGAAAACATATCCAGTCTGTGATTTAGCTTTATGTGGATCAGACGTATAGCCAGTGTCAGAATATCCCACCAATGTAAAATCCTTGTTTCGTGGATAGAATAAACCAAGATCAATAGAACCTTGAAGATAACAAAATATATGTTTAACCTCATTCCAATGTCTTTTGGTTGGCGCAACACTATGCCTAGCTAGAATATTAACTGCAAATGCGATATCAGGCCTGATGCAATTTGCAAGATATAATAGTGCCCTTATAGCGCTATGATAAGGAACTTTAGGTCCTAGTCCTTCCTCGTTAGCTTCTTTAGGTCTAAATGGATCTTTATCCACTTCTAGTGAGCGAACTATCATTAGGGTACTTAGAGGATGACAGTTGTCCATATAAAATTTCTCCAATATCCTTTTTACATAGTTAAAATGGTGTAGGAAAATTCCTTTTGGGAGATGTTCAATTTGTACGCCAAGACAATAATTGGTTTGATCTAAGTCTTTCATTTCAAATTCCCTTTTTAGACAGGAACGAGCTCCTTCAACCTCTTTTTAAGTTCCGACTATATTCAGGTCATCCACGTACATCGATATAATTGCAAAGCCATTAAGAGATTTCTTAATGAACACACAAGGGCAAATCTCATTGTTTGGATACCTTTGCTTTAGGAGGTAATCTTTCAACCGGTTGTACCACATACGTCCGGATTGTTTGAGACCATACAATGATCTTTGCAGCTTAATACTGAACATACTATGATTTTCATTCTTGTTCATATTGGGTATGGGGAAACGTTCAGGGACTTTCATATAAATGTCAGTGTCAAGTGACCCATATAAATATGCAATCACGACATCCATTAACTGCATCTCAAGGTGCATACTTGTTGCCATACTGATCAAGTAACGGAACGTAATACTGTCCATTACGGGAGAATAAGTGACATCATAATTAATACTGGGTTTTTGCGAAAACCCTTGTGCAATTAATCTTGCTTTATAGCATACCACTTTATTATGCTCATTTCTTTCCTTACAAACACCTATTTATATGCTATAGGGATAATATTTTTAGGTGTTCGAACAATAGGTCCAAAAATGTTATGTTTATTAAGTGAGATTAGTTATACTTTAATTATCTCCTTCCATTTATTCTAGTTTGAATGCTTCTGGCATTATTGAAAGGTTCTAGGTTCTGGATCCAAATTATCTCTTGATATAGCAAGAGCTACTAATAAGGCAAATGAATCATCAACAATAGTTGTGATTCTATCATACTTCTCTCCCTTATTAACATAGTTTATTGCAACTTCTATGTCAACATCAACTAAATCTTTGTCATTTATCGTGACATTTAAATTTGGTCATTCTATATTCCCAAGACTTATTTCACTGGGTTTGCTTTCTTCAGGATTAACCTCTTTAGGAGGCGCAATGGGTGACTGATTTTTCCTTTTGTGGATTTATG